CCCTCCCCTCCTACTCACCCAAACTAAGAACTTAGTACGCATTCACCGTGCATTTTCACTGTCAGTACTCACTCTCAGTCTTGTTCTAGCTGTTCCAGTGTATGGACGTGGTACAGAGAAGATAGTACAGATAGACCAGAGTTGAATCAAACAAGAACTAGAAGGGGAATTCCCAAATCTTAGTTTCAACTAGAGTGGGAGGAATTAAACAAATCTAAAGTTTTTTAAAAATTTGCTGTTTACTTTTAATAACAATAATAAATGAGCTTCTCTTATATTCTTTTGAAAAAAGTAGTTGTACATAAAATTGTACAGTGTACTGCAGTTTCTGGAGTAATAAAAAAAAATGCTCAGGTCTTGTTTATATTCCCATCATAAACTGCAGTACACTTTAATGTAAACAAAAAAATAGAAAATAGAAATCAATTTTTTTTCATTTAGTTTTTCTTTGAAGTGTACCGCAGAGACCAAAACTTAAGAAAAGGTATCGTTATGAAAACCAGTTTTGAAACCCGGGTTTCACGAATGGGTTTAGGCAGTTTTGTAGATATCAATATTTTTGTTAAGAATATTATTTTAGTTGGTTTCTTCTTATTATTCATTTTTTTCGAATCTCTCAAATCAAAATCTAAACAAATGTTAGACCCCAAAAAGGAAACTTGGGAGTTTTGTTCAACGATACTCTTTTAAATTTCGGGCTCAGATGTAGTTTTCTGGGAGAACCGAGAAATGTAAACTAACTCAGTGCTGCGTAGGTCGAAGTTTGTTTATATTCACCACAGAAATTGCAGTACACTTTTAATGTAAAAAAAAAAAAAATTTCCCAAGAGATATATAAGTTCATGACATCTTCCTTGCAAGAGATATATGAGTTCCTGGTATATTTTCCTTGTAAGATATATGAGTCCTGGCGTATCTTCTTTGTAAGATATATATGAGCTCCTGGCGTATCCCCTTTGTAAGATATATATGAGTTCCTGGCGTATCTTCTTTGTAAGATATATATTAGTTCCTGGCGTATCTTCTTTGTAAGAATTATGAGTTCTTGGCATATCTTCTTTGTAAGATATATATGAGTTCTTGGCATATCTTCTTTGTAAGATATATATGAGTTCCTGACATATCTTCTTTGCAAAATATATATGAGTTACTGGCGTATCTTCTTTGTAAGATATATATGAGTTCCTGGCGTATCTCCTTTGTAAGATATATATGAGTTCCTAACATATCTTCTTTGCAAAATATATATGAGTTCCTGGCGTATCTTCTTTGTAAGATATATATGAGTTCTTGGCGTATCCTCTTTATAAGATATATATGAGTTCCTGACATTTCTTCTTTGCAAAATATATATGAGTTACTGGCGTATCTTCTTTGCAAAATATATAAGAGTTCCTGGCGTATCTCCTTTGAAAGATATATATGAGTTCCTAACATATCTTCTTTGCAAAATATATAAGAGTTCCTGGCGTATCTTCTTTGTAAGATATATATGAGTTCTTGGCGTATCTTCGTTATAAGATATATATGAGTTCCTGGCGTATCTTCTTTGTAAGATATATATGAGTTCCTGGCGTATCTTCTTTGTAAGAATTATGAGTTCTTGGCGTATCTTCTTTGTAAGATATATATGAGTTCTTGGCGTATCTTCGTTATAAGATATATATTAGTTCCTGACGTTTCTTCTTTGTAAGATATTTACAAGTTTCTGGCGTATCTTCTTTGCAAAATATATATGAGATCCTGCGAATATTTTCCTTGCAAGACTTGCATTCTTTCAGTTCTTGTGTTTTTGCATCAATGCATATTGCAAACCAAAACTATGAAATCATATTTATCAAAAATATATATAGTATAAAATTTAAAGCAATATTGAATTCTGGTTTTTTACATTTTTCCCTTTTAAAGGGACTGTCTTTGGAATATCAAGTGATAAATCCGTTTACAAAAAAGAAGCGCATGCCCAATCCTCAACAATTGATCAAGTGCAGGATATTGTCGTTTTTCTAGCTTGAAAAGTGTTCAATTCTGAAAATTTCCTCCATTGTACCTGAAGTTATCCGGAAAAAACTTAAAAAGAGATAATCAATTTTCACAAAAAAAGACATGGATTTCTCAAGTATTTTTTCACACGAAAAAACTTGTCAGGGCAAATTTTAAAATAAAAGGCTACCGACAACTACGACATTTTAAATCTTCACTTTATTACAAAAATATAAACTTAAATGACCTGGTCTATCCGCACCCTTTAGTTCACAAATGAGTAGGATGGTTTCGTTTAGAAATTTGAACACTAAGGAAAAATGAATGAATTAATAAAATAAATGAACGTTTTTAATATTATAGAAAAAAGCTGAAAATGTCCGAGTCACCAATTAAGGAATTTTACAAAAACAAGGTAAGCAGTTTTTTTTAACAAGCTTTTAATTTTAGGAAAAAACACTTCCAGATTACAACATTTACAATCTTTTGCACTATACACAAGTACTTCCATCTAAATATAAACTAGCTCAAGTGCCCGGCATGCATTGCCTGTAAAATTTTAAAATCACTTTGATTTTTTTTTTGATTTTTGAAAAAACAGTTTGATTTTTTTTGGCCTATGTTACCACCAAATATATTTTAATATATAAATATATATGAGTAAAGAGCTTTAGTATAAAGATATATATGTATACCTATATGTCTTGTTGCCTGGAAAAAAATGTTGCTTTTTTTTCGAATTTGAAGATCTCTCAATTTAAAAAGAAAAATTAGAGAAAATGATGGTTAGTGGAGTAAATTCGCGCCCACATTCGATTTTTAGTTTTTATTGTTGCTCTATTTGGGCATTTTCTCCTCTTAAATTATCAAACAAAAATTGATTTTTTAAGGCACATATATAAATTCTGACCATGCAGAAATCTTCCTTGGGGCCATTTTTGTAAATTACAGAATTAAAATAATAAACCTGTATATTCTTTGTCAGTCATGCCTGTCCGTTTGTACCATATAAACCGATCAGACCCAAAACAAGGAATTGAGTCTTTGCCACAAACTCTGATTTAAATCCCTTTATCTTACCAACCCAATTTTTCGTAAACCTTAGATATTTCATTATATGAATTCTTGTAGATCAAATAATCTAAGTTTTAATATCAATGGTTTACAAAACCTGCAGGTTGTGAAGATATAGGGATTAGAAAATTTGAGTTTGTGGCAAAGACACAATTTGTTTTTTTGGGTCTGATCGGTTTTTATGGTACATACGCACTGATAAAGATTATACAGGTTTATTATTTTAATTCTGTAATTTACAAAAATTTTAATTCTGTGCTACAGCATAGGTCAAATCATATATTACATTTATTAAAAAACTAGGCTTTTAGGGCGCTTCGCGCCCATCTTCTATTTAAATTCTGAACCTGTTCTTTTTGTTTACATTTTAAAACAAAGAAGAAAAAAATTTTGCGAATTAAAAAAAAATCGCTGATTTTCAAGAATTTAAATTTCTTTACAAAATTAAAATCCTTTAAAACACATTTTTTTTTAAATTTTTATCATTCATAAACCTTCCCTGTGGTCACGTGGTGGGCCCGATCGGTTCAGCCGTTTTGACGTTTATTGGATACAAACAAACAAACAGACGTCCAGACACCCAGACAGACAAGACAAATTTATATATAGATTAAGATTGTCGGCACATATGGACGTTTGGTATATAGCAAACATCTTGGCTTTTTGGAGGCCATTCATTTTCAAGACGATTAAAAATGATCCTGCAGCTTCAAACTTTTCCTCCGATGAAGTTTTTTTTTTCTGGGGAACTACAGAACATTTTTTTTTGGTGCTAGAATAGCCGACGACTACCATTCCAGAACCAGTTTTTGTTTCAAAGAGAACGGAGCGCACTTAGAACATTTGATGAAGAAATCGAAATATTATTTTTTGACATACACCAAACTTACATACTACATATGTTTAGACAACCTTAATTGTGTAATAAATGTTATATATGATTTGACCTCTGCTGTACTGTACCAGAATCATAAATTACATAATTAAACACCCTGTAATATATACATAGATACATAAGTGAGTGTCTAATGTCTAAGACTGGTTTGAGAATTTAAATCCATGACTTTAAAAAATGGTATTTTCTAAAGATTCAGAATTCCCAGATTGGATTAGACTGTATAGTAACCAAGCATGATATTAGAACTAAGTAGAGAAGGACATTTTTAATTTTAGATTTATCATATCAGAGACAAAACTTTTAGAAAATAGACTTGGAATTTTTCTAGTCGTAGACAATAGACACATGAATAAATGAAATGGATTTAAACATGTCTTATCCTTGGCTTTACTTTTATATTTGTGTACAAAACATGCGCACATTGCACATGTCTATACTTGGCTTTACTTTTATATTTGTGTTTACATAGCATGCACACATTGCACATGTCTATCCTTGGCTTTACTTTTATATTTGTGCACATAGCATGCACACATTGCACATGTCTATCCTTAGCTTTACTTTTATATTTGTGCACATAGCATGCACACATTGCACATGTCTATACTTAGCTTTACTTTTATATTTGTGCACATAGCATGCACACATTGCACATGTCTATCCTTGGCTTTACAAACATTTTATCAAAGAAAATTTAAAAAGAAAATTGCTTTAAATTCGTAAAAAGGATTTTTCCCCTTTAAATTTGGATTTGTACAAAACATTGGTTTCGAAATATTTTAATCCAAATTAGTTGTAATGGTATGATTATATTATGTATTGTATAATACTTATGAAATCGGACCATCTCAACCTTAAACTGTGTGAGTATAGATCGTACCATATATACTATGGGCAGAGAAGGCGGGGGGGAGGAATGTCACCATCTATAATACTTGAATGGACCAGAGGGGGGGGGGGTGTTGGTTCTAAGAATGCAGAATAGTTAGCAATAATACCAAATGCATTTATATTTTATTATGATTTTAAAAACCTATTACAAACTATATACTGCATTCATACATCATAATTTGTTTTATTACGAGCGCCCATTGTTGGGTTTCCTGGGGGGAAATAATTAATATTTACGTAAAACAAAAACGTATTCAATTAATATACGGTTAATGATGCGTTGGATAATAACGGACTTCATTCATGTATATTTGATGGCCGGGGAAAATATAACTATAATAATATTACCACCAAAAATATAACTGACAAAAATATATCAGACCGAAAATAAAACCATTTTTGACCAAAACTTTTATTTTTTTAACCAAAAATATAACCATATTTTAGCCAAAAGTATAAATTTTTTCGACCAAAAATAGAACCATTTTTAACCAAAAATATAAACATTTTTTTAACCAAAAATATAAACATTTTTTAACCAAAAATATAACCATTTTTTAACCATAAATATAAACATTTTTGACTAAAAATGTAACCATTTTTTTTTTATCAAAAGTATAACGAATTTTGACTATAAGTGTACTTTTTTCGTCCTGTACATAGGTACGTTTTTTTTTGTTTTTACTCTCTTTACTTTACACTTTCGTAAATTGCGATGTTTCTTTTATTAACTGGAACATTTTCTGAAAGGGCATTTTATGGCTTTTATTTAACAAAATTCAGAGGAACCACATTTACGCATTAATAAAAATTGATTCCTATCATTAGACAAGTGCTTAATGGTTAAGTTGAACAATGTTAATATTTTTGGTTAAAAAACATTTATATTAATAGTTGAGAAGTGGTTATATTTTTGGATAAAGAAAAGTTGTATTTTTGATGGGCGGGGAAAATATTAGGCTAATAATATAACCACCAAAAATATAACCATTTTCGCCCAAAATAAAACTTTTCTTGACAAATATATAACTTTTTTTTGGCCAAAAATGTAACTTTTTTGACCAAAAATGTAACTTTTTTTGACCAAAAATGTAACTTTTTTTGACCAAAAATATATCTTTTTTTGACCAAAAATATAACTTTTTCCACCAAAAATATAATATTTTTTTTGGCTAAAAATATAACTATTTTTCAGCCAATAATAAAACTTTTTCAACCAAAAATATAATATTTTTCGACCAAAAATATAATATTTTCAAACAAAAATATTAATTTTTGGGCTAAAAATATAACCATTTTTGACCAAAAATGTAACCATTTTTCAGCCAAAAATATAACTTTTCGACTCAAAATTTTGATCAGACCTATAAACATTTTTTAGCAAAAAATATAACTTTAAATATAACCATCCTATCTTATTTACTCTTGTTCTTGAAAATTTTCGCCATTTATGAATTTACTGATATTTTGTTTGTTTTTAGACAATATTTGTTACTGGGGGAACAGGATTTATTGGCAAAGTTTTGATTGAAAAGTTACTCAGGTAAAAATATTGCATTTATTGAGTCAGGGGAAAAATCATCAGCATTGGAGTACACTATTGGAGACCCCCTCTCATTGGAGACCCAATGGACGTCTTGTTGGAGACCCCAAGATTCTCCCTGGTTTCAAAACGAAAATCTGGGGTCTTCAGTTAAACATTTAGAAACCTCCTGATTTTTAGTGGACCCGGCCCTAACTTTTTGCTTTAAGCCCCACTTTTTGTTTTAGACCCAAATTTTCATCGTAGATCCCCAATGAAAATCTTGGGGTCTCCAACGAAAATCTGTGGGTCTCCTACGAAAATCTGGGGTCTCCAATGAAAAATTTGGGGTCTCCAATAAAATTCTGGGGGTCTCCAACGAAAATCTGGGGTCTCTTACAAAAATCTTGGGGTCTCCAATGAACAAATTTGGGCCTCCAACGAGAATATGGGGGTCTCCAATGAAAAAATTTAGGTCTCCAACGAGAATATAGGGGTATCCAATGAGAGGGGGTCTCCGATGACAATCTGTGGTCTCGAATAAAAATATTGAGGTCTCCAACAAGAATATGGGGGTCTTAAATAGTGATGATTTTTTCCAAAACTACATTATTTTCAGGATTTTTTAAAAAAAAATTGTTTGTTTTGTTCTAATATTAGCGTGTTTTAAAGAGTATTCAGAGAGTCATTCCATCTTTATCTGATCAAAACTATGAAGATATCGACGATTTTCTAGATTAACAAGTGGTTAATTCAGACAAATAATTTCATTGTTTCTATAAGCAGAAACTCGCAAGTCATTTTAATGAAGAAATTACAATTTAAAATAATCTATAAAAAAAAACATTGATAAATTAATTAATAATTAAAATACTCTAAAAGTGAAGTATTGATGGCTTGATCTGACAGTGCTCTCAAGGGTACCATTCTGAATCGGGTATATCTCAATAAATGGAGGGTCAATTATATTTTTGCATTTTTTGCATTAATTTACACTTGAATCATTTCTCTATTACATGAAGATATAAAAGTGCCGAATCATGATTGAACTCCAAATGACGTGTTTATTTTTAAACATCAAGTCATTTTCATTTTGCTCAACCAACGCAACATTGTTATCTTATTTTCAATAAAACATCTTAACTGTTACATAATATGGCTTAATCTTAATTTTATAGTCCTTTAACTTTAGTATGCACATTAAACAGGAGTTTTTGTATATTAAACGAAACAAAAGATGTTCTTTCTGTATCATACGATACAATTTCTGAAAACCAGGTGTGAAAATCAGCCCATGGGTGAGACAATGTCCGGGCTACTGCATTTTTTAATAGTTTTGACACTTTCCCTACATTTTTGAATTATTAAAGCTTTTTTTATACACTTGCCGTGTGCAAAGTTTGTTGTTAAATAAGTTTTTAAATGTAGTAATTTTAGAAAAACTGTAAAAAACAATATTCCGGTTTAAATGTCGTCTTCCTCTCAAAGAATTTAAAAACATATGAAATTTATGTAACGATAACTCGCAATATTCTAAAATTTATAGGAAGCTATAAAACGATTTTGTAAAATTTGTGTTTTCAGGACGAAATACAGTAGCCCGGACATTATCTCACGCCCGGGCTGATTATCACGTCACACCGGCGGTGATTCATTTAATTTTCGTGGATTTATAGATATTTTACGAGCATTGGAATATCCTATTTATATAACACTAGGTACAATAAAGTAACTGAAATTCTAATTTCATTTTTGTTTTAGAACTCCATAATATTTTCAAAAAAAAACGGTCTTGGCTTGTGGTGCGATTCTCTGATTTTAAAAAAATCTTTTATTTTTATTTTATAATTTCAGGAGTACAGAGGTCTCCCAAATATATGTTCTTACCAGGCCCAAAAAAGGGGAAACTCCCCAACAGCGAATAAAGAAACTTGTTGAAAGTGGCCTGTTTGACACATTAAGGGTAAGTTTTAATGGGAGGGGGTACTGGTTAGTGATTATGAAAAAGAACTAATTTCTCCTATTAATTAATCAATAAAGCTCTTATCTCGTTTGGATAAAACCACTTCTGTTTTTTAAACAAATCAAACCAAATAAAATTTAACTCAAAAGTGTCTAATGATTTTAAAAAGACGATTATTAACTTAATCTTGAGATTTCTTATTTAGGAAATTTCTCCAAATTCCTTGGAACGTGTTCATGCCATCCAAGGAGATGTAGAGGAAGTTGGTCTTGGGATACAGGATACAGACCTAGATATATTGTATCATGAGGTAGGATACAGGATACAGACCTAGATATATATTGTATCATGAGGTAGGATACAGAATGCAGACCTAGCTATATTATATCATGAGGTAGGATACAGGATACAGACCTAGATATATTGTATCATGAGGTAGGATACAGAATGCAGACCTTAATATATTGTATCATGAAGTAGGATAAAGGATACATACCTAGATATATTGTATCATGAGGTAGGATACAGAATACCAACCTAAATATACTGTATCATGAGGTAGGATAAAGGATACATACCTAGATATATTGTATCATGAGGTAAGATACAGGATACAGACCTAAATATATTGTATCATGAGGTAGGATAAAGGATACATACCTAGATATATTGTATCATGAGGTAAGATACAGGATACATACCTAGATATATTGTATCATGAGGTAAGATACAGGATACAGACCTAGATATATTGTATCATGCAGTAGGAAAAAGGATACATACCTAGATATATTGTATCATGAGGTAAGATACAGGATACAGACCTAGATATACTGTATCATGAGGTAGGATAAAGGATACATACCTAGATATCCTGTATCATAAGGTAGGGTACATGGAATACAGGCTAACTAGAAATACAAGGATACAATGATACAAAGTTACAAGGATACAAGGATACAAGGATACAAGAGTACAAGAATATAAGGATTTAAATAAAGAAAACATTTAATGATGAAAGAATGCAGTACTATAATCAAACATTTTTTTTTAAATCCAATAATTCATTTTAAGGTTGACATTGTAATTCATTCAGCTGCTACTGTACGTTTTGATGAGAATTTAAGCAAGGTGAATTTTATGGTTCTAATTGTACTTTACTAGGTTCTAGCTGTTATATAGGTTATAGGTTCCTAGGTTTTAGGCTATAGGTTCTTCTAGCTGTTACAGTTTCTAGTTTCTAGGTACAAGCTTTTATATAGGTTATTGGTTCCTAGGTTCTAGCTTATAGGTTCTAGCTGTTACAGCTTCTAGTTTCTAGGTACTAGCTTTTATATAGGTTATAGATTCCTAGGTTCTAATTTATAGGTTCTAGCTATTACAGCTTCCAGTTTCTAGGCACTAGTTGTTATATAGGTTATAGGTTCCTAGGTTCTAGGTTTTAGGTTCTTCTAGCTGTTATAGTTTCTAGTTTCTTGGTACTAGCTGTTATTTTGGTCATAGGTTCCTAGGTTCTAGGTTCTAGGTTCTAGCTGTTACAGCTTCTAGTTTCTGGGCACTAGCTGTTATTTAGGCTATAGGTTTCTAGGTTCTAGGTAATAGGTTCTAGCTGTTACAGCTTCGAGTTGCTAGGTACCAGCTGTTACATATTATAGGTTACAGGTTCCTAGGCTTATAGGTTCTAGGTTCCAAGGTTCTAGGGTCCTAGGTTCTAGGTTCCTAGGTTTTAGGTTCCAAGGTTCTAGGTTCCAAGGTTCTAGGTTCCAAGGTTCTAGGGTCCTAGGTTATAGTGTCATAGGTTCCTAGGTTTCTAGGCTCCATGTCCTAGGTTCTTAGGTTCTAGGTTCTTCTTAAAACTCTTGATACTTTTTAAAACTTATCTAAATCTTCAATATTAATTTCAGGCACTTCGAATTAATGTGAATGGAGTTTCTGAAATTCTCACTATTTGTAAACAAATGAAGAAACTGGAGGCTATGGTGAATAATATAATTATTTTTATAAAATTGACCTTAAGCGTAATTTTAATTGACTCTCTATGTAAAGATGGCAATGTCCGATTCACAACGGTACCCTTGAAATCATTATCTGATCAATAATGTGGCAGATATTCTGGTTTGAAATTGATATAACACGTTTTTCTGTGGTAGAAATGTGCACGTCTTTGTAGAGAAACTACAACTGAAAATAATCAGTTTTCAAAATAATAAACATTGATATCTAATTCAAAATTGACTAGACAAAGCTTTTGTGGGTATTGTTGTGAAGCGGTCATTGGCATATCTGCATGGAGTGTCACTTGATATTTCGCTTATAGTTCCTTTTATAATATCTTAAAACATAAAGTAACAACGCATTCTAAATGAATATGGAAATGTAGACTGTAGAGATAAATTCAAGTGAAGATTCAGGGTAGGTCAAATTATCAAAAAAAAAAATATTTAAAAAATTATCAATGAGAACAGAAAAATCCACGAAATGATATGATTTATGATTTACAAAGAAAAAAAAGCTAATAGAGCATTATTTAAAAACTACAATGGTACAATGTATGTCAAAGGGCATGTAGACCGTAGAGGTAAATTCAAGTGAAGATTCAGGGTTGTCAAATTATCAAAAAAGAATTATCGAAAAAAATTATCAATGAGAACAGACAAATCCGTGAAAAAAGAAAAAAAAAGCTTATAAAGCATTATTTAAAAACTACAATGGTCCAGTGTATGTCATGTATCTAGGTGCATGTATCAACTGCTTATGTTCACTGTGAAAATAAGTTCATAGATGAATCTTTGAAGATGCTACCTACATCCCCAAGAAAGGTATCTTTGGTTGGTTTTATCTATTTTACATTTTTATAGATAGATAGAAAGATATCATTTCTATTTGTTCAGAATAGACAACAAACACATGACTGAACCCTGATTGGATCAGGTGCTAATGGACTTGGCATGCAGGAGTGGTCCAGAATTTAAGAATAATTGGACAATACTTGTTACTTGTTTATCAAACAAAATAAAGAAAGTCCACTTACAATTTACAATATTAGGAAAATCTGTTTTCTTAAAACTGCTTGCAGGTAAAAGCAACATTCAAAAGATTAATGCACTTCACATCAAGAACGGGAGACAACCAAGGAAGGGGGGACGTCTGCCATCCTGTGTATTTGTCTTCATTTGCTAGCGATGAAAAAAATTAGATAGTGTAAAGCTCAAATCCTCTTCTAATTTTTCCTGTTCAAATTTTTCATGTTCTTCCTTGTTTATCTTGTTTTAAGCCCCCATCTCTACTCTCAAGAGATATCCCTTCCACTTTTTTTCTGTTCAAGGGAAGTAGGGACATGGGACAAGGGAAGTAGGGACATTGGAAGGAGGGGCAAGAGAAGGAGGGACAATTGAAGTAGGGGCAAGGGTAGCAGGGTCAGGGAATTAGATACAATGGAAGTAGGGACAAGGGAAGTAGGGAAAGGGGAGAAGAGACAAGGGAAGTAGAGAAAGTAAGGGCATCTGAAGTATGTACAATGAAATAGGGACAATGGAAGTAGTGACATGGGTAGTAGGGGCAAGAGAAGTAGGAACAAGGAAAATAGAGTCTAGTGAAGTAGGAACAAGGTAAAGGGAAGAGAAAATGTTTTAAAATTCTAGGAAGAGGGGGTGAAAGGTTATGCAAAGAAGGTTACTTCAGCTGAACTCAGATTTTAAAAGCAAAAACCCGAGTAAAACTCGGGCTCATGTAGAACCCAAGTCAGGATTGGTTCTGATTCGACCAATGATAGACTGGTTAGAAAGCATTCTCTCTGCAGTAGATAGATCAGCTGTGAAAAGAGATGTTATTTACACTATAATCGGGGGTTAATTGGGTTTAAGCTTTTTAAAATCTAAGTTAATCTGATGAAGGATGATAATATAATTTTTTAGAAATTCTTTTCCTAGACAATAGAATCTTTGTCCCTGCTTGGGTCTGATGTGACAGATGACCCTGTGTTTACTAAATCTATTATCGGAGCTAGACCCAATACATATACATATACTAAGGTATTAAAATCATTTATAGGGTTCGTTTTATAAATTTCATACTTTATGTCACGCATGTTTCATGTTTAATTTTTCATGTTTTATTTTTACCTCTCTATCATACTTAAACTTAGGAGTAACTAAAGATATGAACATATTTAGATTTACACAAAAATCTTAAGTTTAGTTTTTTTTACAGTAATTGGCAACATTCCCATTGATTATCCGGGAGAGCTTGGAACCTTTGGATTATTGTGCATATAATATATGTCATGTCACATAAATCATATTTCATATCACATGTGTCATAAGTCATATCTCAAGTGTCACTTTTCATTCTTCATGGGGGCCCTCTTGAATTTTCTGTTTTCTTTCAATATTTATTTTAGTTTTTCTTCAATTTTTTTTTTAGTTTTTCTTATGAATCTTATCTGTGATAATGTGATCGTTTTATACTTTTTTACACTGATTTCTGCAACTGATGCATGATGGTTTCATTTTCTTTCGGAAATATATTTTGAAAATTTATAAAATGTATCATTAAAAAATATCTTAAATTATAGCAAATCATCAAATTACTAAGGACAAGGACAATGACAAGCACAAGGACAAGGACAAGAACAAGGAAAATGATAATGATGCTCCAGGAACCTGTACCTGGATGGATCGATAACCTGAATGGTCCAACAGGATTCTTTCTAATAGCAGGACTGGGTAAATAATTAACTTAAAAACAATTTTAAAGCTTTGCTTGTTTTTTTTCGGGGATTTTTAAGTTCACAAAGTAAAATTTTTTGGTAACGAGTTTTGGTTATAAGTTTTGAATAAAAAGGGAAAAATCAAATATATAAAATGAAGTATTTTAGAAAAAGGTTTATTAGAAAAAAAATTGTTTCTTTTACTATATTTTTTTAACCTTTAAGTGATTGTAAACACACTAGGAGCCTAAATCTGTTAAAAGTTTTTGACCTATGCTATAAAATCTTGCTAATTGTAGCATGTATATATACGAAATATTGTTATGTTACATTTATTAACTAATCATGTCCTACACAAATAAACATTTTCATTTGTAGTTTTTAACACGTAGTGTATTATATTCAGGTGTTCTAAGAACTGCTGTAATCCATGATAAACTTAAGGTAAAAACAATTGAAAAGTTATCAATTAAAACCAAATAGATTCTAGTACAATAGATGGCAACGTAGATTTTGTACACTCTCAGTACACCTGTATTATTACGTCACAAGTGTCAACTTAGTTTTTGTGTCCGACAAAATTATTAATATTAGTGATAATTTTAGAATAAACTTATCTTACATTAAAATAAGTGCAGTTTGATGTCTGTTTTTACACTTTTTTATTTAATCTTAGAAAACAAGTCAACTTATGTAAGAAAATTTCGTTTTCTTTGTTATATTTGACACTTGTGATGTTGTTTGTAATTGATCCATTTCTCTGTTGCCACCTATTGTACTTGATAATCTATTTGATTAAAACGTACACCTCATCACAGCTATCGTTAAAAAAAGCTTTTTACTTTTACTCTTGACGTAATTACAGTAACCCTCACCTCACAGAGGGGCATGTCCGCATTACAAAGGTACCCTTGAAAAAAGTAAATTTCTGACAATTTTCTTAATTGTTCATTTGTTCAGAAAATTCACAATTGAAAATAATGTATTTTTAGCTAGACAAATGTAAATATACTTACTTAATCTAAGAAAGGTTTAAAGGGTTCGATTTGAATGGACAAGATATGAATGCTGAAGGATTTTGAAAAGATGAGCCCATATCGACGATTTACAAGATTTAAAAAAAAAATATATATTTGTCAGATTGATGCTGTTCCTGTGGATACATGTGCGAGCATAATAATTGCAGCTGCCCATCAAACAGCGGTAAATCATAGGTAAATCATAGTTAAATCATAGTTAAATCATAGGTAAATCATAGTTAAATCATAGGTAAATCATGGTTAAATCATAGGTAAATCATAAGTAAATCATAGGTAAACCATAGGTAAGTCATAGTTAAACTATAGGTAAATCATAGGTAAATCATAGGTAAATCATAGGTAAATCATAGGTATATCATAGGAATAATTAAAATTACAGTATTTGGATTTGTTTTTCAGGCAGGGGAACTCAACGATTAAGATTTACAATCACGTCTCAGGTAGATTCTAGATACATCTAAATCAAATCATAAGTTATTTAGATAAAAACCGTTCTTTATGGAATATTTAAAGACCCGGAATTAATTGACAGTTAATTACATTTACATATATATCTCTGGCAGTTTTAAATGCTCAAAAAATGCAGACCACAATTTGTGAATTTCAGTACTAGGACAATTTTGTGATTATCGTATCTTCGATCATGTTTGTAAAATTAGACTGTCGTCTGAATAATTATAAATTAATTCCGGATCTTTCTGATAAGGATTGTATAAAAAATTCTTTATATCTTATTTTGATAACTTTTTTATAGAACATTTTATACAAAGATCGTATTTTGGTAATTGAGCAAGGTTTCTTTAATTTTAAGGCGTAATTTCTTTTTGTATAGTGGCATTTCCGATTTACTTCAGAACACTCTAAACCTTTGCCTTATCAAGGATGACGCATTTTCCCCCTGTATCTACAGTAACGCTTGTTATTGTTTAACCCTTCCTTTGCTAAATATTTTTATTATTTACGTAATTTTAAATTTTACTTTCTGGAAGTCGCAGAAAATTAGTTTTTACATTAGAATTGATCATATAAATCATAAGATATATTTAAGAGCAAATTCAATTAAGTCTACAGGAACTGTGTAGTGCGTAGAAGTAATTTGAAATAATCCTTATTTTATAAAGTGGTATGTTCAATTCACAGCAGTACACTTTAAAGCTTTGTTCAGAATTATTATTCAACGCGGTTTGAAATTGAAAAATTGAATATTGCGATTTTTAAAATCCATAGTCCCTTTCAGAAAAAACTTGAGAACGTATGTTTTAGGCCCCCAAGCTCCCCTAACATGGGGAGATTCATATTCTATGGCAAGAACTGCTCTTCTCAAATATCCATTCGAAAATGTTGTAAGTATTTTGAACATTTCTTGAATAATATGATAATGTCGTCTTCTTTAAAATCCGCAAAATTTCAGTAATGAATATTCTCAAAAGTTACACCGAGCTGAAAACTTTAGAATGGTGGATATCGGGATTAGGGCTTAATCCACTCTTTTTCTTAATCTGCAGATTAAATATTGCTTGTTCTTCTTTCATTTTTAATCTCCAGATTAATTATCCGATCAAGATTAAGGATATCCCATTCTAAAGTTTTCAGCTCAGAACTGGGAACTTTGGAAAGGTGGATATCGAGAGTAATGCTTAATCCTCTCTTTTTGCTAATCTCGAGACTAACATAATCTCGAATTTATGTGAAGTCTTGAGATTAAATATTTAGATTAACAAATTTCTTGACTGGAAGGGCCCTCACTTAATTTCTCACCCATTTGTTTTTTAACACATTAATTAAAATTGCTTAAAAAGAATCTTAAACGTACTATTAAATATTTTCTTCGACGATTAATTTACAAAATTGCCGGCAAAACATTCTTTTTTTTATTAGAAATTGCGGATTTCTCTCATGGGATAAAATTTATTTTCAATGCTGTCATTGGTCAATACAATTTACGAACTATAGGCTTGCACTCTCATTGGAGAAAACAATGTACGGATATCCAAAGAGAGAGAAAAAGAGTGGATTAAGGACTAAAATTAAAAGTTTCCAGAGTGGATATTTGGATTAGTTAGGATTTAAGGTTATCCATTCTAAAGTTCCCAACTATAGCGTCATTTAAAAATTAGATATTGAACAAAATATTAAATAAATTTAAAATTACCCGCGCCAATTAAATCCGAAGTTTGTGTTTTGTTTGGAATATCTGCACTCTTGTGTATTAAGCGTTTTCAATAATTTTCTCCTTAAGGACGCGACAGCTTGAAGTAAAATTAGTATAGCGAATAGTGTATTAATTCAACAACTGTCTGAGCTGGAAACTTTAGAATGGGATATCCTTAATCCCGATATATTGGTTAATTAATCTGGAGATTAATAACAAGAGGAGAACAAGCATTATTTAATCTGTAGATCAAGAAAAGAGGAGATCAAGCATTGATCTCGATATCCACCATTCTAAAGTTTTCAGCTCTGAACATATTAGCCATAGCCAGCAAAAAGGCTGGATCAAATTGGCCGACATTTATTAGGAAAACCAATGGTAAAATTAAAAGTTGAGATTTTTCCGAATTGTTTAAAAAATTCCACGGGCAACTTCAGGGTCCTCAGCGGTGATGTATTTTTCGACCTACGCAAATCCGCTATACTCCACTTCTGACCTACGCCAAATCCGCTATATTACACATCCGATCTGCTAGCACGTGGTTTTACAGCTGCTATATGGACTTCTGGCCGCAGCGCGCGGCCCCCTAGCCTGTTCTAGCCGCGGCGCTCGGCCCCCTAGCCTGTCCTAGCCGCAGCGCTCGGCCCAGAAATTGTCTAAACCTAACCTAACCCTCAAATAATACAAAAATAAACAGCTGGCGTAGGTCCGATATTGCAGTAGGTCGGAGAGTTAGTAGGTCGGAAGTTCAGTAGGGGGGATGTTGCGTATAGACGATGTAACATTACCGTCCTCGGCCTCTCATTATTATTTGTCTAGGTTTGGTATCCAGTAAGTTCGTTTAACAACAACGAAATCGAGAATAAAGTTCTTGGATTTCTTCTCCAAGATGTGCCAGCGAGGGTTACTGATTTGATAATGCAGATGTTGGGAAGGTATCTATTTAAAGGGACTGTAAGCGTAATTTGATTTGCAACTGCTCGACTCTCTTGAAATGTTTGCTAAGATGATGTTAGGATAATCATTTTTCCAATCTTATTGTTTTTGGATACCCTGTTTTGCTGTGTTCATTAGCTGCATACCCCCCTCCCCCCCTCCTGCAGGATGGTTAATATGCAGTTCCGATAGCTGACCAGGCAATTTGCAATATTTAAATCTCAGTTATTGTGTTTCTGTATTTATTCCAGTTGTGTTTGATTTTCACTAAATCTCTGTATAGTCAAATAAACTTAAAATTTGCCATCTATGCAGGTTTTTGTGCTAGCATTCTTGTAATGAGTTACTTCCCTTAATCAGCTGCATTGAGTTACATTTATCTGTGTCTGCAGTAATTTACAAAGAAATTTATAAGACCTCCTAACCCTAACAGCATCAGAGTAGGTTCAAGAAGATTTAGGAGAACCCCCAAGGAAAAGTACACCCATGACACCAATGATGATCTCTCTCACAAAGTTTTAGTTTGCATTCCGCAGTAAAATGGTTTCAACACTGGTAGGCGATTATATCTATACAATGAAGACGACTTTCGATTTTAAATTTGATTCATATAAAGCTGTTAAACACTATAAATGTTGAAGTTAAGAGAAACCGTCAATTAAAAAACCTTTATTTTGATTACTTGTAAACTTGTAATTCGAGAAAAGCTTGTTAACAAACAAAACTTTCATTAAAAATTCGTCTTCATTGTAATGATATAATCGCCGACCACTTTATCTAAATGATACGTAGAGTCACTTTAACTTACACCGGCAGTCCCTTTAAGTTTTAACTTTGTTTTTCTTCATTGTGTTTATCTATTTCATTCTTTTTACATTGTTAGCATTTATTTGTTTTTCGTTTGATGAAGTATATTAAACAAATGAATAATTAATTTTCTTCCAAATTTGTCTTTGAAGTTGTTAAATTTTCCTGGTATGAATGCAATTTTTGTTTTACATAAAACAGTGAAAATAAAATTTGTAAACATCTCCTTCAAAACTTTATTCATTTTTTTCCTTTTCTTACTATTTCATAACTAATACTGAAGCTAGTCATGACTGACTTAAATTAAGTTTTTAATAACCCAACAAACATCAATCCCAGATTGTGCATTGTAAATAGATAATTTATCTTAGAAGGGTGATTTTCAGCTACTGACAAAACTATGTCCTCTATTGTACCCGCAACCTGTACCCGTACCCATACCCTGTTCCTGTACCCTGTTCCCGTAACCTGTTCCTGTTCCTGTTCCCGTACCCTGTATATTCGTACCCTGTTCCCGTACCAAAAATCCAGCTAATATTGACCTGAAATCTATTTTAGAAAAGTGTTCGCTGTCCGTCTAAGTTCAAAGATGCAGACAGGACTTCGGGCAATGAAATATTTTACTTCTAACGAATGGAGGAACCAAATCAATCAATCAATTCTTAACAATAATTATAATAATTACACATTATAACCCAAAATTTCTTCATAATGATAATAAATTCCCAATTTTTTCATAGATTTTTAATTTGAATAGCAATTATTAATTGATTATAACTTGTAAGCTCACTTTTTTTACAATTAATTTTGATTTTGATTGATAATTTTGCTAAAGATGGGAAAACCCAAGTAGCCAAGAGCTGTTCAACTCATTGAGGTAAAAACTAATAAAGGTTTTATCTCTTAATATTTAATTTCTGAACTTACCGTCCTAATATTCTAGTCCTACACTAACTGTCCTTCTGTTCTATTTCTGAACTTACCGTCCTAATATTCTAGTCCTACACTAACTGTCCTTCTGTTCTATTTCTAAACTAACCGTCCTAATATTCTAGTCCTACACTAACTGGCCTTCTGTTCTATTTCTAAACTAACCGTCCTAATATTCTAGTCCTAAACTAACTGGCCTTCTGTTCTATTTCTAAACTAACCGTCCTACTATTCTAGTCCTAAACTCACTATCCTACTGATCTAGTCCTAAACTTACTGTCCTTCTGATCTAGTTCTTTACTAACTGTATTACTATTCTAGCCCTTAACTCACTGTCCTACTGATCTAGTCCTAAACTTACTGTCCTACTGATCTAGTCCTTAACTAACTGTCCCACTATTCCACTATGTTTTAAAGGTCGCATGCTGTAAAGAAAAAAATCTAAGAGAACATTGCCAATTACTTTTCATAAACCAAAGCTAAAAGCAAGTGCTTTATAGTGCTAAAATTTACACGTAAAGGGCTACAGAAAAACATAAGCGAGTTAGAGCGTTAAAAATTGAGAAGACTTTTTATAAGCAGACCTTAACTTACTGTCCTACTGTTCTAGTGCTGAACTAAACTTCCTAATTTTTTTCCTATAATAGCCGTCCTACTATTCTATTCCTAAACTAAGTGTCCTACTATTCTATACCTAAACTAACTGTCCTACTGTTCTTGTCCTAAACTAAACGTCCTACTATTCTGGTCCTAAACTAACTGTGCTACTGATCTATAAGTCCTTTACTAACTGTCCTATGATTCTAGTATTAAAATAACTGTCCTACTGTTCTAGTCTTTAACTAACTGTCCTACTGTTCTAGTCCTAAACTAACTGTTCTACTATTCTAGTCTTTAACTAACTGTCCTACTGTTCTAGTCCTAAACTAACTGTTCTACTATTCTAGTCTTTAACTAACTGTCCTACTGTTCTGGTCCTGAACTAAACGTCCTACTATTTTATCCCTATAATAGCCGTCTTACTATTCTAGTCCTGAACTTAGTGTCCTACTATTCTAGTCCTGAACTTAGTGTCCTACTATTCTAGTCCTGAACTAAACGTCTTACTATTCTGGTTATAAACTAACTGTCCTACTGTTCTAGTCCTAAACTAACTGTCCTACTGTTCTAGTCCTGATGACAAACTAGAGTTTAACTTCAGTGTAGAAAGTATATCCTGGGATATATTTATTAACAACTTTGTCCAGGTTAGAAGAATCTATAACTTACAATTTAACCAAGAACTTCGGAGACATCGAAATAATTCATATAATGTCGTCTTATTCTACTATGGAATTCATATAATGTCGTCTTATTCTACTATGGAATTCTGCAGATATTGAGTTTTTTAACTGAATTATTATTATTAGCTCTTTAAAACTGTTCCTGCATATTCATGGCTATTTATTTATTTTTACAATTACTGAGATTAAGGTATAATAGTACAGGGTGTCCCAAAAGCATGGGAATTAAATGACGACTTCTATATCGTCTTTGTTCCTAACGGGATTATTTTTTAAATATAATTTTGTAGTATCACAGCTAATTCATTTAACACCGAAAACTACAGTGATAACCAGAAAACTCTGGAATAGGAAGTCGACTTTTAGACTCAATTTATGACTTTAAATATTCCAATGAACATAAAGTACAATAATTGTGCAGTGTAAACAGACTAGACCCAAGTCAAGTTATAAACGTTATAAAATCATTAGTTAAGGTGTTCGCTTTGTAACAACATCAAATGCACTTTAGTATTGCTATAATTTCGTCTTCATCTCCCACAGTTTTCTGGTTATCACTGAAGTAGTATCGGGATTTCCAATGGTCTACCATTTTTTCACCTTTAGAACTGACGGAGATATTAGAAAATTTGTCCAAATTCAAGTTAAATTAAAATTGACGAAACTGTTCAAATGTTTAATATTTCCGTCAATTTTAAAGATACATGACAAGGAAGGTTGACCACATTTTAAAAAGCTTATTAGACTTAAATTCTTTTTTTTTTTGATGCACTCGATTTATCGATGGTCGGAAATCAAAGACGATATTCAAGTCGTCTCTCAATCCCCATGTTTATTGGGACACCCTGTATGAAACCCATTAAAAAACTGTCAACACCATTTTTAAAATGTTAAATTATTTTATTGTAAATTAAATGTTTAGCAAATCTTATTTTTTATAAAATCTGCATTGTTTAAAAACAATTATTTTTCCGACAAAAACTTTTTAGTATAGTGGTCGGTGTTTATATCAATACAATGCATGCGACATTTATACAAAAAAAAATTTCTCACAAGTTTTTTTTTCAAATTACAAGGTTACAAGTAAACAATAGGAAGCTGTTAATCGGTTTGTTTCTCTTTGCTTCCTTGTTTATGTGTATTCATGCTGTTTGAAAGCTTGGTAGAAATCATAATATGAACTCGAAATTCGAAAGTCGTCTTCATTATATTTATATTAAAATATAAAACGACAAACGTATAATTATTTTACTGAATGAATTATTTTGACCGCCGGGAATGTATTTAAATCGTAAGTTCTTTTTTCATCAGAACTCCGAAAAACAGAGTAATAACCGTTGTCTCAAATAGACAAGGGACTATCGCGGTAATGTAAAGTGNACCCACAAAATGCAAATATTGCGGAGAATCCAATATTCAAAAACCAAAACGTTGCTATCTAATTCTTACTTGAACAGACAAAGCTTTTAAGGACACTGTCCATTGTAGTGATGTGCTTTCAGAAAGGTTCGTTGTTTGACCATATTTTCTTTAAGAGTCAACATGTGGCAAAGTGTAACAATATCAAATACATTTTTTATTCTAAGCATTTGCTTTTGTTACATCATGTTAAATGTTGATCCAGACAGATTATATATGCAAAAAAACGATACAAACGATGCAAAAAAGAATGTGTTCTTATGATCGTTTTCGGATCGTTTTTGGATAGTTTTGTGATCGTTTTTGGATCGTTCTTGGGTCGTTTTTGAATCGTTCTTGGGTCGTTTATGGATCGTTTTCCCCAAAATTATTAGGAACCCTTGACTCTCAAGAAGTTACATTTACATTCCCTTTAAGAAATAAACTGTCCAGGGGTTGAGAAAGTGCATAAATTGTCCAGGGGTTGAGAAAGTGCATAAATTGTCCAGGGGTTGAGAGAGTACATAAATTGTCCAGGGGTTGAGAGAGTACATAAATTGTCCAGGGGTTGAGAAAGTAGATTAATTGTCCAGGGGTTGAGAAAGTACATAAATTGTTCAGGGGTTGAGAAAGTACGTTCTGAAGCAAGATCCTTCTACTATTCCAGCAACTAGAACAAAACTGAGGTATAAACAACAAAATATCATATTAACTTAAACTCTGAACTATCAAGAGAAGTGCAGGGTGCCTCAGTATCAACACAAATTGCGGCAATTTTTCGTAAACCTAATTTTAGAATTAAAATTCTCAAGGTAATAATTACTTAATACCTCTAGTCTTGGCACTTCCAAAACGTGGTCTGCCATTTTTGTGCTTTCATTATTACTAGAGATATAAAGAATTTAGTTCAGAATTCGACAATTTTTGTTTTATTTAATAGAATTGAAATTGGACAAAATTCTTAATATCTCCGGTAATATTGACGACACAAAAAAGGCAGACCACATTTTGGAAACGCCAGGGCTGGGAAAATTTTCTGGTTATTGTTTTAAAAATCACACACGCAAAAGTAGGTTGACGACTGAATGTCACAAATAAATTCAAAGTTTAAAGACAACTTTCAATTCGTCTTACTACTGTCATGTTTCGTGGGACAACCTGTAGAAGAATGAGAATAATATGTTATTTTTATAATTGCCATGATTCAGTATAAATGTACTAAGTATAAGAATATAACAACGTACATTTATGTAGAAGGTTAGTAGGAGGTAATGAATTATACTTACGATTTTACTTAATTACGTTTAAAGATTTTGTTATATTGCAACAAAAATAATAGTTGAAAGACACTTTATAAGTATTACTAAAAAAATGTTTGTTTTTTGTCATTTGAAATAACTTAGAAGACGACATTTAAAATCAGAATTAATTGTTCAGGAAGCTGTATTTTGCCCACATTGCTGTACAGACACTTGGCTGTTTAGTTTTACTCTGGTAAGATTTTTTTAAATAAAATAAAATTTAGAATAAAATGGTTATAAAATAATGACACTGCATTACCAATTCTTACCAATAGCTATAGAATATGAAGTTATAATCAAGAAATTAAATGTATTTGATTTTGTTATAAAGTTTTACCATGAAACCCAATTTTTAAGTAAAACTTAGGTCTATTTTCACTACACACTTGTTGTATTTTATGTTCTCTTATTTAAATAAATAACTTAAAGGGAGTGACCAGCTATATAAGGTTGTTAAACTGAGTATGCAGTGTTGTGGAGAACTTCTTTCGGATTCATTTGAGACATATTAAACTTTTTAAAGATCTATAAATCCTGAGTTTGAGCGCTAATTCGACGTTCAAAACTCCTTCTTTTGGGGTGGATACGTTTTCAGAATTAGTTTTTTTTAAATTATTAAATAACGACGACATAAATTGTAAGAAAGTTCTACAATAAACTACAGACGTCATGTATAGGAACATGTTGAGAAAATAAAAATTAATCTTATCATCAAAAATAAGTAATCTTGTTCAATTATTAGTTTATATTCTGGTTTCTTATTATTCACAAATATTTTCTGCAGATTTTCTAGAATTATTATTAAAAAGACGACATTTGAAGAGTTTGAAGAAATCTGCGAATCAATTCAATACAATAATGGAAACGAAATAATCGATTTTAGCATTGATTTATTGACAAATTTGTGTTGAGAAATATGTTCCTAACCATCTAATTAGATTACTGTATAATTCTTACTTTATTTTTTGTTGTCGTTATTTAATAATCTAAAAAAGCGTATCTACCCCCACGTCATTTTCCTTTTCCACAGTTTTTTGAGAAAATAATATTTGCTCAATTAATATTGTTTCTTCAGGTTAGTTTATCTGGTGTATAGTGGAATACATTAGTTGTGCATAATCTGTAAATAGACATGTGATGTACAAAGAGTACGAGCACTGAGTGCGAGTTAATACAATGCAAAGTTTGAAGAAAAAATATATATATATTTAATATGACAGTTTATTAAATAAAATAAAGATTTATGTTTTTTTCCCTGGAATTAAATATTTTATTGAAAAGTATGAATTATTGTGAATCTTTAAGTGGCTTAGCTAGTTGTTTTCTTATTTCAAAATATATTCTGTACAACAAGCTAGGAAATCCAGCTTTGTCTGGATACTATATTTTCTCTACAAACAGCCAAATCACTAAACTTAAAATTTCTAAACCAACTTAAGAACAATGCCATGTCTCTACCTAACCGGTCAAGGGGTTTACGAGTTATGATTCGGCAGACAGAGATTATTATTTTATAGGTAGATGCATATTACCATAAAGTCGAGAATAAAAGCGTCCTTTGGTTCAATCCCTTATTAAAAGTTCGCATCTAACGACAAAACCATCTTGTTTATTTATACCTAACAAGCGGAGGGGGGGAAGGCAAGCGCTGCATAAACCACACCCTTTTCCCTTCCGTGCCACATTTGAGCTTTTATGTCTTCCGGCAGCCGTGAGTGACAACATTATCGTCTTCCGGTATTTATTACATTATTTAATGATAACTTGTGATTTTCAAAAATCTAGCCAATACCTTCAAACATTTTGGAAGTTTATATTAGATCATTGAATTGTGTGTGTTCAGTTGATACAACTGTTTCACATTTCACAAGTCAAATGTATTGGTATCTACCGAGACAGATTGTTATGGAAAGTCGAAAAATAAGAAGAAAATAGGGGGGTTTTACGCAAATTCTGACGAATTTTACAGATTTAAATTTTTTTTGAGACTAACATCTTCAACATGACGAGATTATATTATTTTGAATGCCATTTCCAGTGTTAGATTATAAACAGCAACAATTCTTTTGAAATAAAGAAGGGCTAATGTTTGTTTAAAACAAAACCAGTTCCAAAAGGTCAGAAAATGTCTACCGAAAAATGTCTACCGGAAAAATTTGGTCAACTAACCGAAAATTGGGGTAACTTATTTTGTGCTCTATAACCCTTAAAAGTTGTGTCAAAAGATTATTTATGCATAAAATTCTTTCAAGTCTAATTAATATGCTTGAACAATAAGTAAAGCAAGCGGTCACCGATATATTTCTAAAAATGTATATCTACAGTGATAACCAGAAAACTTTGGAATAGGCCAACGACTTTTAGAATACAGATATAACTTACAAAATCAAATGAGCTTGAGGCACAGTAATTGTGCAGTGTAAACAATTACAATGATTTCATAATTGTCTAATAAAACTATTTGACTTGTAACAACGTTAAATACACTTTTATATTGGTATAATGTCTTCTTTCTATTCTATTGTTTACTGGTCATCACTGTATATCCATAAAACTGTGGAATAGAAGGTTGAATGTTTTACTCAAATCATGGTTATAAATAGCCCAAAGAGCGAAAAAAAATATTGTAAACCAACATTGCAGAAGATTGCTTAAATGTCGTCTTACCATTCTTCAGTTTTAGATGTTTTACTGTATTTCGAATATGAACTCTTAGCTGTAATCTTTTAATTATATATTTCAAAAATAATGTTAAAATTTCATGAGTACTGGTACATGGTTTATAAATTTTATGAAATCTTGTCAACAGGACCTTAAATTTTCGTTGTACTCTTTAGAAAATTTTTTTGCTTAGAGTGGGAGGGGGATAATTTTAGATAATTTTTAATGGTAAGCTAACTCGCTACAATCTTTTTTTGCGGATTTATAAAGCACTGACTTCCTGGAACGATCCTGTTCTTCTAAACTATAAAGATCCGATCTGTCGGCATCTTCGCGCAGTTGCCGCGACTGCTTCCATAATAATATATCTAAACAGACTCCATTTTAGAATCTATCATTATATAATTAATATTTATTACAATAATTTGATTAAAGGGACTGTCGTCCCAATTAACTCCCCATTTAAAGCTTTACATGCCTGATTCACAACGGAGCCCTTTAGCTTTGTATCTAACTATGGCTTTTAGATCTTCTATTTTCATTGTGAACATGTTCGCGAATCCACAAACCTTCCCTGGAGTCACGCGAGGTCAGACAAAAAATTTGGACCCGATCTGTTCAGCTGTTTTGACGTTTATGGGATACAAACAAACAGACAAGCAAAGTATATGTATAGACTATGCTTTCAGGGCGCTTCGCGCCCATCTTTTATTCAAATTGTGAACGTGTGATCTCTTTGTAAACATTGTAAAACAAACAAAAAAAATTTCGCGGATTTTATAAAATAAAGGTCGTGGATTTTCAAAATTTTCAGAAATCAAATTTTGTTAGAAGCAAATTTTTGGAAATTCGATCATACATAAACCTTCCCTGGGGTCACGCCAGGTCCCACAAAAAGTTCGGGCCCGATCGGTTCAACCGTTTTGACGTTTATTAGACAAACAACCAGACAGACACCATGACAGACAGATAAGCAAATGGTCTATATAGATACCAATGACAAATCGTGGTTTTCTGTCATATAAGTAATATTTACAATAATTGTTAGAGAAAAATATCAAATTAAAGATGAAAAATAGTGCTCAGACATAGAATAGAAATAGAATTGTGAAATTGGGGGCAGCAGGTAGTGAATCAGTTAAAAACAGTTTGACAGTGATAAACTCCATTCAAAATTCTAAACTATCCCTTTACCTTATTCCTCCCTTCTCTAGTGCCCTGACCCCCTCTGCAGTGCTACCCCCTGGGCTGGTCACCTCCCCCCTCAGTATAGAGGGATGTCTGATGCTAGCCATCATACCTAGTGTAATATATCGTTTATGCTCGTTTTGAAAACATTTTTTTTTAAAAGTCCAATATTTTCAAATCTTCAAAACACTCTTAAATCAAAGTTTGCTTTCATCAATCCTTGCAATATTTTTGTTTTAAAAAACGATCGTTAAATTGATAACATGTTTTGTTTTGGTTTAATTTTGTAATTTTACCCTTACTTCCTGTCAGGGTAAAAATTTGCTATAGAGAAGGAACAGCAGATATTAAGAAACAAAACTATTTTAAAACCAATTGTGCTTTGATAGAGTCTGGTGCGTTTTTTGCCTTTATCTTCTGTCTGCTGGGTCGAAATTTTGCATAGCAAAAGAAAACAAATGTTTTGAATAAGCTATTTTAAAACCAATTGTTATTTTATAGCTTTTGGTTTATTTTTGTTTTTATTTTCTATCTGGGTCAAAATTTGGCATAGCTAAAAAAAGAATATTTTTCAATTTTAGAAAAAACTATTTTGAAAAAAATTGTGATTTTTCAACTTTGCCAAATTTTGATTTTGAAAGAAAAAAGCGGGAAAAAACGAGCCAACTTTATCACTGATCTTACCGGCTCCTTGCATTGTCTGGGCAGCCAGGTTCCGAGCCAGGTCAGGGCCTAGACCCTGCCGAACCTAATAATAAAGAAAAAAATTAATCTGAATTGTTTATCCCTTAAGAAAGCGCTAGTCCGTATATTTTGTATCATTTTTCCAGAATATCTTTCAAGGTCGTTGAGATATCACAAAAATTTAAAACGCTTGTTTTTAGGGATCAAACATGTAAAAGTTGCCACTGTACATCAGGATTAGGCATTGTAGATTAGCGTTATTTTAATAAATTTAGAGAAAAACTTTTAAATGGACCGTATATAGGTTAAATTCATTCTGGAGATTAACAAACCTCTCATTGGTAAATCCGGGGATTCAAAACATTAATGGGGTTAGTTTAAATCTTTCACTTTTGTAAAAATTGAAAATATTTGACTTCAAACTTAAATTATTAGAAAGGTACCACCTAAGAAATACATTTATCGAAAATTTTTAGAATTTAAGTCATTTAAGTTGCATAATTTTTATGAAAACCAATACATAAAATAGGAATTGAAGTATTTAAATATTAAGTTTTTAACTCACCCCTTCCTCAGTCAATGCTTCTAATATTAAATACATATACGCTGGTCCACTTCCTGATATTCCAGTAATAGCATCAATATCCTGTTCTTTTACCCTAGAAACAGCATTAATTAAATATATGCTGCTCCACTTCCTGATATTCCAGTAATGGCATCAATATCCTGTTCTTTTACAATAGAAAAAAACATTAAATACGTATACGCTGGTCCACTCCCTGATATTCCAGTAATAGCATCAATATCCTGTTCTTTTACCCTAGAAACAGTATTAAATACATATATGCTGGTCCACTCCCTGATATCCGGTAATAGCATCAATGTCCTGTTCTTTTACTCTTGAAACAGTATTAAATACATATATGGTGGTACACTTCCTGATATTCCGATAATAGCATCCATATCCTGTTCTTTACCCTAGAAACAGCAATAAATACGTATATGCTGGTCCACGTCCTGATATTCCAGTAATAGCATCAATATTCTGTTCTTTTACCCTAGAAACAGCAATAAATACATATATGCTGGTACACTTCCTGATGTTCCAGTAATAGCATCAATTTCCTGTTCTTTAACCCAAGAAACAGCAATAAATACACATATGCTGGTCAACTTCCTGATATTCCAGTACTAGCATCAATATCCTGTTCTTTTACTCCAGAAACAGCATTAAATACATATATGCTGGTCCACTTACAGATAAACCAGTAAAAGCATCAATATCCTGTTCTTTAACCCTAAAAACAGCATTAAATACACATACAAATACTTGACGGGCATAATGATATTTTTTGAAAATATTCTAATACACACTAGCTGAAGGGCCCGGCGTTGCCTTTGGAAAAACTTTTTGTAGAATAAAAATTTTGAAAAAAAAATTCAGCCCAATCGGTCCAGCCGTTTAGCCAGCTATACGCAACATATATATGGATGTCTTGTTTTATTATATAGATTATAATAAAACTCTTATGCAGTGAGAAAAAAGTAATTCTTTACAGAGACAAAAGTAAAAACAACAACAAAAACTTATTGAATATTATTTTCTATTGGTTTGCTGAATAAAGTTTGTTTAGTCGAAAATTTAAAAGAATAGAAAATGTTAGATAATGTCTATTGTTTTCTAACTAAGCCAAATTATAAACTTATTAAAAATTCTAAAACTAATTAAATGATTCATTGTGATAGAATGAATTTCAGTAACAAGTTATTAATAAGAATTAAGTAAAACTTGAAGGTTGATAAAAAGTTTAGAATGTTTCCTACATTGTTTGTAAACCGTATATCCATGAAGGGCAATTTTATACATTTTTCAAAATCTTTTTTTATGATTTTAAACTATAAAAACTATTAGAGACGTTTTTTCAAAAAGTTAACTTAACAGTTTGATATTTACCTCCAACATTTTCCAACTTTATAGAATAAAGTTTCCACATTTTTACAATCCTCTGAGGTTGCCCCTGAACCAGTGGCATAAACTGAAGCCCCACATCCAACCTGATATTTTATTTTTACAATCCTCTCAGGTTGCCCCTGAACCAGTGGCATAAACTGAAGCCCCACATCCAACCTGATATTTTATTTTTCTGAATTCAAAACTTTTATGTTGTGAATCTCTGGATCAAGCATTGATCTGCATCTTATCTTATCTACGGATTGACTTAATTTCTCTTCGATATCCCTGGAGGGATAACTTAAGACTGAAGGATCAAGCGTTTAAAAGTGTCCGCAATGAATATCGAGATCAAGTGTTCAAGATTAATGATTGTCCACCCAAAAGTTCCGATCTGAGATATGACAATAAGAAAACTACAGCTTCAAAAATATGTTAAGGTAATCAAGTTTGCTATAAATATAATTGCTTATTTTCTTCTTAATTTGAAAAAAGCAACACAAAAAGATTAAAACGTTTTATCGCTATTTTCTATTTATGTATGTAGGGAAAATGTTCGTAGGCGTATAAGTAATAAAAAATTTTGCAATTACTATACAAATAGATGCTATGCGACCAAAAAGAACAAAACAATAGGAGACAATCATGATCATTTCAAAAAAGTTCTTAAAGGGAATGTCAGCGTTTTTTTACAAATCGACCCTTAATCAAAAAAAGAGATTCCCGATTCACATTGGTACACTTACAAGGATTGTCTGATAGAAAAGCAAACAGATTATTTTTAATTGTGGTTTCTCTGAACACGTGAAAGGTGCAATGGCATGTCCCGCGTCACTTGAAACTAGGCTTACCGTCCCTTTAAAGGGGCCGTTCACTTATTTGGGTCATTTCATGGTAAATTAAATAGCATATTAGCTATTTATTAGTATTAGTCTTACTTTTCAAAGATAATTATGGCCAGGGAAAAAGCCGACTTATCACTTAGAATTCCAACGCAAAGGTACTTACAAACTGTGTTTGAAAGTATATAATAAAATATTTAGTTTATTCTCCAATCACATAAATAAGTGAACGGTCCCTTTAAATAGTAAATCTTGAATAACCATCATGTGTAAAACATTATATAAAATCATCAATCACCTCAACTGCGGTATTTGGCATAACTCGAATAACTCTAAAGAATATCAAACATTTTTGTGATTTAAAACAATTTTCTTGGTTTTTGAACATCAGTAAACAAAGTAGATAAAACTTCTTTGGAAAGTTTCTAGAAAAAGTGAGCTTTAATTAAAAATTGACACCCTGTTCTACCCTGTTCTACCCTGTTCTACCCTGTTCTACTCTGTTCTAGAAACAATTGGTTTATAATTTGATAATATTGAATTATCCACTGGCTGAAATATTTTGCTAACACGCCCTTTAAATAAATAAAATGTTCAATTTTTCCCTGAATTTTGGTCCGAACCATTGTTGAAGGGTTTGTGTATTGAGTCCAGCAGCAATACTTACCAATAACTGATCACCTCAAATTTTATTTTTATGTCAGAATAAAAAAGTTTTTTTTTAATGGAAAAATGAAAGGGGGTATAGAATGAAATTTGAGAATCTCAGGCGTTAAACGATACATATAAGACATCTATCTGATGTTCCTGTCTCGATAAATTGATATAAAACTGTGTCAAATTTAAGCAAAAATTCATGAAGACTTAAATAAACTGTTTTAACAATAAACTTTAAGATTACAACGACGGTAGCAATTGAACTGTTGCAAAGAACCCACAAACATAAGATATAAAATCTCTGTTTGTCTGCCTCATTGATTGAATTTACGATCACAACTCTAAAACCCTTGGACCTATTTGCCTCAAGTTTTGATTGGAGAGCTCAGTAGAATGCACGGGGTTGGTCTTCTGATTTATATAGAAAAAAAAGAAAACTTTACGTCATTCTTACGTTAAAAGAAACACCTATTATCCAAAATCAGGGTGTAAACTCACATGAACATTTTTATTTTGATAACATTAAGAAGAATTCGTAAGCTTTACCTTTCGAGTTTCCTATAAGATCTTGTGCTACTATTTCCACAATTCCAGGTTTAACTCCCAATAGGATAGTATCAGACCATTCTCCAACATCCTTTATATTAATCAATCAATCAATTCCAGGTTTAACTCCCAATAGGATAGTATCAGACCATTCTCCAACATCCTTTATATTAATCAATCAATCAATTCCAGGTTTAACTCCCAATAGGATAGTATCAGACCATTCTCCAACATCCTTTTTATCAATCAATCAATCAATTCCAGGTTTAACTCCCAATAAGATAGTATCAGACCATTCTCCAACAATCAATCAATCAATTAATCAATCAATCAATCAATCAATTCCAGGTTTAACTCCCAATAGGATAGTATCAGACCATTCTCCAACATCCTTTATATCAATCAATCAATATCAATCAATCAATTCCAGGTTTGACTCCCAATAGGATAATATCAGACCATTCTCCAACATCCTTTATATCAATCAATAATATTTAGGATTTACTCCCAGTTGAACCAATCACTAACATCCATAAGATCAATCAGTTGTCAATCAATTAATCAATCAATCAATTTTTGGCCTACTCCCAGTGGGATAATATCAAACCATTCACTAACATCCTTAGGATCAATCAGTCGTCAATCAATTAATCAGTCAATCAATTTTAGGCTTTACTCCCAGTAGGATAATATCAGACCATTCACTAACATCCTTAAGATCAATCAATCAGTCATTCAATCCGTCAATCAATTAATCAATCAAGTCACCTAATCAATCAGTTAGTTACATTATTAAGTGTTCAAATTATTAATCAAACAATAAAATATTTAATTTATCAATCAATCACTAAATTCGTTATCCATTAATAATGATGTATCAATCAATCAAAGGATGAATTAAAACATAACCCTTAAAAATAACTGTTTTAATGATCACCGTAAAATTAAAAAAAAAAAAATTTTAACATCTAATATTTGTGGCAAATACAGAGTTTCATCGTTTTATTTATGAAAAATCTTGTGCATTTTTTTGCTCGTCTTTTAGATGCTTAAATAAAAGTACTGTACACTTTTACATCAGAATTTTTGAATCCAAAATAGTTTGATAGTTGTTATAAATTTCTGAAATGTCATTGCTTTAAACTTTGATAATTTGTAAAATATAATAATTATTGCCCTGAAACACACACTCCCAAGATAAATTTAAAAGTGCTGCCAAAAAAAATTTGAAAAGTTTTTTGATATTCTAGTTATTGATGAACAAATATTTCAGGTTCTTTTTCACATTCAAAGTTATTTTCGCACTTTTTAAGGGCTTGACAAAAATATGAGATAAATATTTTTTTTCTAAATATCAAAAATGTTTTAAGGCTTATACGAATAAGAATAATAAGAATGGCAAACATTTTGCACAATGCCATAAAGGAAAACTTTTTTTATAAAATGTTAAAAATTTCTGTTGAGCTTTATTGTAATATTATAAAAAAATCTTAAATGCTTAAAATGAACAGCAAACAATCACCATCTAATGCTAAGAATATAGACTTGAGACGATTCTTTGTTTTAACAATAAAATCTGTGTTTTTATCCGTGTTACCTTATTATCAAATGTTGTGTTGCAGCCCATCTGCTTAAAGGGTTCAAGCAGTGCTTCATCCTGTTTTGGTACGCTAGCTAATACCTGACAACGACAACAATAGAAATAATAGTTATAACGATTGAAAAATTATAACAATAAAGATAATAATAATAATCATAACTATTCATACAAAAGAGCATAAGAAACTTGGGTTAATCGTTTTGTTTCGTTTTGAGGGTTTTTAAACTCTTATGAGGTTCCACAAAAATCCAAGATGATGGATTGACCTGGTTAGATTTGATTACTCCGGATCCAATCCATCCTTTTAGAAGAGCTCCGGCCATCTTACCAGCTCCTATCACACCGACCTTGCTTAGACCCCCCATTACCTGGAATACAGTCGTCTTTTTAATCAATACAATGAAGACGACTTTCTAATTCAGTTTTGATTCCTACAAATATTTCAATTAGCAGAGATACAAACATGTAAGCAAAAAGAAGTTGTCAATTAAAGACCAGCTTTTTTCACTTGTAAAATCATTTGAAAAATGCTTGTCAGGGATCTACATATTGTTGATTTTATAAATATATATGTTGATCACTGTAACATATTGTAGTAAACTTTAAAAAGGAAATAATTATAGTTTAATATTATGGTTGTTGCTAAAATCATCAAAAGAAGATGATTTTTCATTAATATTCTTTTAATTATTATTATTTTGTAATTCATGTCAAAAGTTGTCAAATTCTTATTTAAAGTTTAAACTGATATCCAGTTAAGAGGCCTGACAATACTAGTCTAAGTTACTTAGAAATGACCCCTCAAATTTCAATGCTCATACTCGAGTCAAATCACTTTATCTTTGCAATTTGATGTCGTAGATACCCTTCAAACCTTCTACTAATTAGAGAGACAACGCATACAGGTTAACCACAAATGATGAGACTGTAAAGACGACCAGAAGCTCTTGAAATATAATTATCACAAGGTTAAATGAAGTCTTCTGTCATAGATATAGAAGTTTAATGGCTTATTTAATGATTTGGGAAAAAATATGTTTACAGTTGTAGCCTTGCAGGGAATCATAAATTTACGTAAAAATTCCACACGGTCGTCTTTGAAGTGTCACCCTTTGTGGGTAGCTCTGTGTTAAAATGCAAAATAAAGGTATTATAAAATTTGAGTTTGAGTTACCTTTATTGTATATTACTGAAGAATTGTTTTCAGTATAACGTTGAGATCACCCGTGTCTCGAGTGTTACTCAATGTACTCTGTACCAATGATAGTGGTTGGATAGTACACAATTCACTTGGAGTATTTACAAATATTCAACACATTCAATACAAAGAGATATCTCAGATCACCGACTTTAGTTGTGTACCTATAATTAAATTAATTTAAATGAATTTATATCTTAAATAATTGAATTTTTTAAGTAGTTTCTAAGCAGGAAGAATTGGTAGAAATTGTTAAAAAGGAATTTTCCTAGTTCGAACCAGATTTTCAGGTTTTGTTATTTTTTTTCTTCTTCAGAATCAGCATCATTTACTAAAACAATATTTTTTTACCATTTTGTATTTAATATTTTTCTGTAAAGAGAAGAAACATTATTTTGAAAAAATGGTTGGTATGAGTATACACCCTGGTCCGTAGAAAAGGCCGATAGTATAGGTATAGGTTTGAAATGCATGCTCATAGCCCAATTTTTCAAGACCAGCTCGAAAAAAATTAGACCGCTAACTTTATCAAATATCAAGATCTGACGCATGATTAATGCTTATACGCCCATTTTCAAAGGCTTTAAAAATATGTAGTTTTTAGATCTGTAGCTTTAGCCACACAAAAATATATCCTATATTATATTTTCACTTAACACGGACCAGACTTTTTACCGCCCTGTACCCTTCCCTATGCATTAAAAAAAATTACAAAAAACCTTTAAATTACTTCACCTTGAAAGTCAAAAACTATTTTGGTGATAGACATAGTGTCAAAAGTGAAAGTGCTAGGGCAAAAAAATTTGAAAAAAAAGATTGGAAAACCCTCCCCACCTACCCTCTACCCTCCCAACCTACACTACCCTCCCCACCTACACTACCCTCCCCACCTACACTGCAAGAATTAATCTAACCATAGTTTTGAATAGCTGTTCAGGTATGCACATTATTCGACATGTTTTTTTAAATTTTAGACACTCAAGCTTCATTTTTTGGACTAAAAGGGAGTATTAATGTGTTTACCAACCACGATAAAGAGCAATATTATTAAATATTTACGAAGAAATTCTAATTGACCACTTACAGTTACAGAGAGTATTCAACCAGATTATAAACGATTCTAATCTCTGTTTACTGAAACGTACCACCAGACTCCTACCAGAAACGTGCCAGAAACATGCCAGAAACCTACCGAAAACGCGCCAGAAACCTACCAGAAACGCGCCAGAAACCTACCAGAGATCTACGAGAAAAGTGCCAGAAACATGCCAAAAACTTACCAGAAACGCATCAAAAACCTACCAGATACCTGCAAGAAACGTGCTAGAAACATGAAATAACGTTTTAAAGTTTCAAATTTACTCATTACATTTTTTGTCTTAACCATAACCATGTTTGGGTACTTGAAAACCAGGAGACGCGGGNTCGCTGTAATAAGGTCTTTTTCGTGTAAAACTAAAATCCTTAACTTTTTCAATCTTTTTTTACAAGATAATACTACTTTCACAGTTTACTAACTCATGTTTGTTTACATTAGATCGGCTGACTTTGTTATTGTTGTTACGCAAACACTAGTTCTTCAGAAGTCCAAAAACGTCACAGCAAAGTGTACGGAAACCCTATCGCCCCCTTCTTCTATTCAATATCTCCTTGGTACATATTAACATATGCGATAACACAAAGTATATAGACCAAACCAAGGTTGTAATGCAAGGAAAGATAACTGCAGTTGCGTATACTCTGCGTACGTATTTAAACCAGTTCTCTCTGGGCGGAATTTGTAAACAAGAATAGATGCATCAGTGTTCGTTTAGTATCCGAGGAGGCTTAAAGCAGTAAATATTAATAATTTTGATAATTCACATTGATTTTTTATGTAAAAGATAGATCCCATGTCAGGTTTTGACATCCGACTTGTTTTTACATTACCGCCCTGCAGAGATAGTACACTGCAGTACAAAAGATGCGTATACCTCTGAAATAACTTTCCTTGCTTTATAACATTGGACCAAACAAAATAATATAGTCCACTTCATCAGACGAGTATCTTAATCATAAAATAAACCTGCGATTAAGAAATCCTAGGTTTATCTTTGATGAAGCGGTCTATAGTTTTGTGCATTAGCAATGGACAAGGTGTCCCAATAAACATTGAAGTTTAACGAAATCATTTTTGAAATATTGATGACTAAGGCTGTTTATTATTCTGCAAAACGAATGATGTGTCTGTAAAATTTCTGTAAGATAAACAGTAAAATGAAATAACTTACTTGTTTTTACAAAGGAATTTACAGAGGTCTACGGTCAATTTGAATTCGAACCGGACCAACCCCTTGTACCGGACTTGGTGATGCACGGCAAGTACCGACCCAACCCTATTCTATGCCAGGTCAGTCTCAACTTTGATGACGTGGCCAGACTTTTACAGTACCCGGCCTATCATAGACTTAGCCCACTAACTTTTTTCGACAAACAAAAAGGGAATATTAATAAAGTGAAAGGAAATGGCGCTGGTCTTGTATGAGAAAGCCAGTCGCACTGCTTTGCAGACCAGTACGGTAACCTAACACACACTCTTTTGGTACAGACACACACATATGATTACAGTCAAGGAAATTGCAGAACAATGTTGTCAATTATAATTAAGCTTGAAAAACGACTATATTTATTGTAAACTTTGTTCAAGTTGTATTCTTTGTATGAAAATTTGGCTTTATAGTGTTGACTTAAATATGTAAATAATATATAACATGCATTTAAAACTTATTTTTAAGTAAACCATTTACAATAAACAAATGTACTCTCCTAGACTGTACAAATACCGAGATTCATACGTACTGTATAAACCTACAGTACACACCTTTGGTACGGTATCCTAACACACACTCTTTTGGTACAGACACACACACATGACGTTTCCGCCCCCTGCAAACAACAGTATACAATCAAAACAAAAACAAAATCGCCCTAATTTTTATATAAACATTATGCAACTAAAATATAAAATTGTTCTTTGAGTACAAAATATGAACAAGCTGTACAATATGAAAAAACGATTTCCAACTTATAAAAAATGGTTCAATTTCTTGTACAATCGAAAAAGAATTACTGTACATAGAGATGGGCACGCTCGACTTTTTTTCATTTCCTTCTTTCATTGTTTGTAAACAACCCATTTCGTTCGTTTTTTTCAATCGTTCGAAAAAATTCATTAGGTTCATTTTCAAAACTATCATTCATTCTCCATCTATTTCGTTCGTTTTCTCGCTGAAATATCGTTCAATAAAATCGATCGTTCTGTACAATTGTTTGTTCAATACAATTGTTTATTCAGGAAAAAAGAAATATTTTTTTTGAAATTTGTTCAGAAAAATCTTTCGTACAGTAATAAACTATCCTGTTAAGTTTGTTTGAACGATTTTTAATCGTTCGGCTTTTTTCGTTTTTAAAAAGCGAAAGATTTTTTATTTCTTCGAACAATCCATTTCGTTCGTTTTTTTTGGAAACGACATCCTTTATCACAAAAAATGTTGTTCGTTCTCAAAAATGTCGATGCCCATCTCTAACTGTACATGCAAATACCTATGAGTATTACCATTATTAGTAAGAAGCGAATTGTGATGTCAAAACTATTCTTGTGCAGCTGCAGGGAACAATCAATTTAAGAAAAAACTAAATGAATTTCGTACAGTCGTCAAGTAAAACAATTACAAGATGATAGTGTCAAAATGAAAGTGTTAAGTCAAAAAATTCTACAGTTATAACCATAAAACTCTGGAATAGGAAGACGACTTTTAAACTCAAGTTATGACTTTAAATAGCCCATGGAGCATGAGACACATCAATTGTGCAGTGTAAACAGACCCATTTCTTATAAAAGTGATTAAATAACTTTTAACTAAAGCTATTTGGTTTATAACAACATCAAACGCACTACGGTATTGCTTTAATATCGTCTTCCTATACTACAGTTTTCTTGTTATCACTGTAGAGGGAGGGAAAGTAAAGAGTTAATGACGTTTATAATTAAAATATTCATAGAAGACGACTTTCATTGTGCTTATCGATATTTATTGTTTAAATAGGATTCAAAGATATGCACTTACGCACGTAAATATTACGAACAAATCGAATTTATGGAATTCCTTATATGTAAAAATATGTTTTTGTACAAAAAATACTAGCCTATTTAAAATTAAGATCTTTAAATCAAGCTAAAAACATTTTCATGGTTCTACCGAAGGTACTAATGCAAGGAAAGTTATTTCAGAGGTGTACGCATCTTTTGTACTGCAGTGTACTGTCGGTAATGTAAACACAAGACGGATGTCGAAGCCTGACATGGGATCCATCTTTCACATAAAAAATCAATTAAAATATTCTTGTCATAGGAAACTATGATGCGAATTATCAAAACTTTCAAAATTAAATGCTTTTAACCTCCTCGAATACTGAACGAATACTGATGCATCTATTCTTGTTTACAAATTCCGCCCAGAGAAAACTGGTTTCAATATGTATGCAGAGTATACGCAACCGCAATTAACTTTCCTTGCATTAGTACCTTGGTTCATACCAACTTAACCAATCAAGAGGAAACTAATTTTTGCCACAAACTCGAATTTTGTTAAATCCCTTTATCTTTGCAATTTGACGTCTTAGACCTTATAGCTATTTCAAACTTTAAAATTGTGTTACATCAAATAGTCGAAATTTGAAATATAAAAGATTTACACCATCAGGTTGCACGCATACGGGAATTAGAAAATTTAAGTTTGTGGTAGAAACTCAGTTTCTTTGAGGCTAATTAGTTGAGAGGAACATACAAGCATAGATGATTCCAAAAAAAATTTATCAAATAAATTCTAAATTGTAATTTATATGCAAAATGTAATCATTTTTATTTTTTTTATTTATGTCTTTATTTGTTAATTTTATTGTTTTTATTTACCCTAAATAATTTGCCAGGAACTCTCTGGTCTATTGTTAAAGATTTATTAAAAGAAAAGAAGCCTTTTTGTGTTAAATTCAATACTTAAATTGATTCATGTTAAAAAGCACTGAGTTGCATTGTTTCGAAATTCAATGTTTGGAAATTCAATGTTTAGTAGATATTGGTATATTCAATCATGGATGGATAAAGAAGCATGCATTGTTATCAGAGAACAGGACTGAAATACAAAAAGTAGGATATAATGGGGGACCCAATGAGAATGAGAAATAGCAAGACAACATTTATGCAAATTTGTATTACATGTTGATAAAAAGGAAAAAAATATGCAATCAACAAAATTAAGTAAATTGGGTATGTTTACGCTGCACAATTGCTGTCTTTCCGTACACCAAAAACAAGTGGGGGTGTTTGGAGAGAAATTGTTTCATTTAAGTTATATTAATCAATGTTAATTAGCGATTATCATATGACGGTATAAATACAAAATTAGTTTTAACCATGTTAAAAAAGAGTTTAAAAAGATAGTTATGAAGGGGTAACTTGATACTTCTATCAGAACATATTTCATCCTCATCCTGTACATTCTTTTTAAAACAATATGTATTGGCTATCTTCCACCTTAATTACTATGCTATTGTAATACTTAGCTTAAATGCATCTCAAAAGAAAAAAATTAAACAATCAACAAAATTAAAGGATGATTTTTTAAATAGACACAATTTATGAGAAATCTAAAAGATAAAATTTACAAATAAGAATTTAATTTCAAGATGTTGTGTTTCTTTGTTTTAAAAAAGTATGATTTCCCAATGTATTTAAAGAACATGATTTCGATCCATTTATCACTATGATTGATGATTCAATTTTTTTAATGGATTTTCAAAAAAAAATTTCTAAACAAATTTCAAAGGGATAAAATACTTTTATAAAATATCTCGGTCCAAGTAATAGGACCCTGAGGTGCCCCCTTCCTCTTTACTAGCGGCGGAACCCTGTGCAATTTGTAATAGTATCGGATGAATGTTTAATGGTGAATTTTTGAATCAATTCTTCTCCAACATTGCAAGGTGAAACAATATAGTTTAATCAGACCAATATTAAACATTATTTAACAAAATATTTCGTCTTTATCTTTTAGTTTTCTAATTTTTTTTAGATGCTTATTACAGATAGTGAGGTGGGGGAGGGGGGTTAAAAAAGTTAATAGATAAGCAAGGTAACCTAAAAAACATGGGGATCTTGCGACTAGATTAAAATCGTCATTGATCCACGCAGCATTTTCGTGAACACAAATACAACAATTTTTCAGTCTATTTGTTAAGACAATTACAATAGAAATCTATCAAAATCCGGGTTTCTTAATTTGGGACCATCTTGTATCTTTTATTGAGAAAAGAATAAATATGTCTGTTTATTAATTCATTAAATAAAATCAAAATGTTTTAATATTTTAATCAGGGTGTCCCACAAAGAACGCAACTTTAGAGACGACTGTACGGGATCTTATTAGCCTTTTTTCTTGCAGTCATGGATCCCTTTAGCTTTAAACTTTTCTCTTTCTTTAGCAAAATCATTAAGCAAACATATAAATACTATATTCATATCAACTTCAGATCTTCCAAATTATAAAGTTTCAGTCTCATCCTCTGTGGATACCTCTGTATGTGCCTCAGTCAATTTCATAAGTCACAAAGATCATTAGATGTTTATTATGTTTATTGAGACACACTGTGTCAGAGCAGTTGTTTAGAAAGTTATATTAGTGAACAAGTTTTAAATTAAAATTATATTTGTTTGTATTCTCAAGAAGAATGTCCACAGATAGATTTAAAAAATACAATTTAAGGACAGTGTAATCACCCCTGGATTTTTTACTGACAGTGTAATCACCACTGGTTTTTTTACTGACAGTGTAATCACCACTGGTTTTTTACTGACAGTGTAATCACCACTGGATTTTTTACTGACAGTGTAATTACCACTGGATTTTTTACTGACGTTGTAATCACCACTGGATTTTTTTAGATAAAAAGAATAGAAAGTTAAAAATTCAACATTTTCGTCTTTTGATAAATCAGTTACTCAATGAATTTTTTAGAACATGTTCCGGAGTTCTCAAAAATGGTAGTTTTGCAAAAATCAGATTTGTTTTTCTGAAACCATGGACATAATAATATAGTAGCATAATATAAATTGACATAAATAATATCTACATAATTATTTTAGTTCTGGTATGTGGCAACCTTTTCAGACAGATAGTTCAAGAAAGTTTACCAGGAAAATATCCAGATTTTAAACAAATTCAAAAAAAAATCTGTTTTTTTATTTTAATTTTTGTTTATCTCTTCCAAGGATGGAATTTTCTAATGGATTTATTTATATTGTGTTACTGTTATTTTATTTTATCATGCATCAGTAAATTTCCAAATCCAATAACCAGAAAATAAGAAGACGACATTACAACAATAAAGTGTTTTTGATGTTGTTACAAAGCTTATACAAGTAAATGATGAATGCACGTATAATAAGTGAAATGGGTCTGTTTATACTGCACTATTGCTGGTCTCATGTTCACTTGGCTATCTAAGGTCATACATTTAGTCTGTAAGTCGTCTTCCTATTCCAGAGTGTTATGTGTATCAACGTTATAACCTGCTGTTTCTTTGTCTTCTATCAGTATGTCGTGGGGTCGAAACTTTTGTTTGCAATACCGCTAATCTACTAAACTTGATCTCGATATACATTGTGGTAACTTTTAAGATTGAAGTTAATATTTAGTTGTTAGATTAGGTTAATCCTTTATATAACTGCTAGATCCAGGGATTAGCAACACAAACGTTTTGGTCTCAGGATAAAGAAATTGAGTTTTTGCTACAATTTCAAATTTTCTAATCCCTATGTCTTTGCAACCTGATGGTAGTATCGATATCCTTTGATATTTCAAATTTAGAATATTTGATCTAAAAGAATTCATAGTTTGAAATATATGAGGTCTATGACATTGGGTTGTAAAGATATGGAGGTTAGAAAATCAAAGCTTAGGACAAGACTTAATTTCTTTGAATCTACTTAGCTTTCATGCACTGACTTAAACGTAAATAGTACGTACTCGTTAGCTCGTGTTTTGTTATATTTACAATTTTTTTAAATGGTTTATGTAACACGTTGGTTTAATCTGATGTTTTGTTTTAATAGTTCGCGTACATTTGGACTGATTTACTCCGTTTTTACTTATATTTTGGGCAATAAATTAAATTTTGAAATGTATGAAGTCAATTACCCTTTTCCTAAACTTTTTTTGTCTTTGAATTATGATTTACACTTACCCCTATTTAAATATGTAAGTTTTATGTTTCAAACATATTTAAAAATTAGCATTAAATAAACACAAAAACTGTTTTTTATTCTGGATTTTTATAAAGACATTTTATATCAAACATACTGGAACCTACAGGGAAATATATAATATATATAATAAAATTCAATTTTTATTCTTATTTATTAAATGATTTTGCTGTTTTAAGATTAATCAAGAGAATTCCAAAGAAAATTCGGAAAAGAAAATTTTTCTTTTGAAATTTTCATTTTTATGTATAAAATTGAAAATCACAATTATGCAATGTTCAATATATTTAATAACGTTTCCTCTTTAGACATTTTAAGGCTGTGTGCCCTGAAAGAAAGTTTTTTGGGAACACTCCTTTTCCCATTTTTACTTACTTAAAGGGACTGTAAGCGTAATTTCAAATTAACCCAATTTACAGCGCAAACTTTAATTGCGGCTGAAAGGCGGGGTTTGATAAGTTTACACACACACATCTCTGTACTCGACGGACACACTAAAGGTTTTAAGGGTATCGTTGTCAATCGGGCATTGCCCTCTTTTAACGAAGGGTCAATAGAAATTAAACTTACAGTCCCTTGTTTTTGTTACAACTACAAATATATTTAAATAGAAGAGAATGGGGAAAGGTTTGAGAAAGAAGATGTAGAAACTAAAATCAAAATCGAAGAGGAAAGCATTGATTGAACATTTTTTTAATTGATTTGTAAAAGTGATAAATGTTACCTATTGGCAGAACATGGCAAGAGACTATATTTAATGAATAGAATAGAACCATAGAGAATAGAATAATATATATATAATAATATATTCTATTCTCTATGTATATCATTTAAGCTCTGTATTCCAGGTCCAAAGTATGCTAAATGCATTAATTAAAACTGTTGGCGGTCAATTTGCCGCCAAAACCTCTTTTATAGTTTATCATTTAATTTCTTAGAAATGCATGTTTCATTTTTTTTCAATAAAACACAAAAAAAATGACATTAAAATTTAAAACTAACTTTTTCTTCATAAGAATTTTATAGATTTTAAATGGCTACTTTACAAATAGCAGATCACATTTAATTGGAGATAGGATAGAAATTGTTGCATGCATTTTAAGCAAAAGGATTTCTAATCCTTATAATTTTGCAACCTGATGATAAAAACGTTTGATATTTCAGACTTGGATTATTTTATACAACAAAATGTATAGTTTTAAATATCCATTGGGTTGCAAAGATAAAGAGATTAGAAAATAATAGTTTGTGGCACAGACTCATTTCTTTTCAGAATACTCTCAATTTCATTTATCAATTTGAAATGAAATGTACAAAAGTTTTGTAGTTCGAACTGGGTTTTTTCGACATTATGAACTAAAAAGCAAGCATATCCTCGTTATCGAATTGTGCCTTTGTATTTTTTTAAAAGTGAATATTCGCAAATTATCTTTTTTCCATCTCATAATCTGAGTTCGTTTCCCTTATGTCCATTTGACAGCCAAATTTTTGTTTTTAAATCTTTTTTGTTTGTTTATTTTCTTGTGGTTTTTAACAATTTTAAAATTATCGATTTAGATGGTTATTATCGTTATAACTGACGAGGGTCAACCCAGACCGAAATATATTTTCAATAAATGTCGAACTAACATCTACTTTTTTTTACTCTACAGAGGTTTGGTCCATCACCATCACCGAATTATAAATTATTGTTATATCTTTGCAACAAACTCAACTTATTGTTGTATATTTGCAACCTGATGGTGTACACCTTTAATGTTAAATCTTTGCAACCTGAAGGGTTAAACCTTTAATGTTATATCTTTGCAACCTGATGGTGTAAACCATTAATGTTTTAAACTTAGATTATTTGATTAAATTTTTGTTAGAAATATATAAGGTCTACAACGTTAAAAAATCAGAGTTAGTTTAATTCTTGGTGCTTTAATCCAAAAGTTTTATTATTTTGTTTTAAATGATATGGTTTAACTTGAATTTTAAAGTTTTAACAAGTGGACAAAAAATCATGTTTTGTTGAAAAAATATCAATGATGGTTAAATCAGGATGAATGCAGTGTAGACAGATCAGAACATGGATCACAGGGTAATTTTAAGTAAATTTTTAAAAAGAAAATATAATATTGTTGGCTACAAGTCAGATTCCGGAGAAGAAATTTCCAAAAAGACTCCGGACGACGGACTCCTACGACGGACTCCATACGACGGACTCCAGACGACGGACTCCAGACGACGGACTCCAGACGACGGACTCCAAACGACGGACTCCAGACGACGGACTCCAAACGACGGACTACAGACAACGGACTCAAAATGACAGACTCCAAACGACGGACTCTAGACGACGTGAAAGAAAATGAGTTTTTTTTTCTAACCTTTAAACCCCCTATATCTTTGCAACCCAATGTCGTAGACCTTTGATATTTCAAACTTTTGAATTCTGTTAAATCAAAAAGTCTATGTTTAAATTATCAAAATTAAAATATTGGGAATAGACAATTTGAGTTTGTGGCAAAAACTCAGTTTCTTTCGTAGAATATTGTACGATGAGCTGCAGGCTGCAAAAGAGGGCCATCCCCCCCCCTACCCGGCCTCTTGACCAAAAATTTTGAATTTTTACAAATAATCATTTTATATTTTTAGGGTGACATTTCTGCCTCGTATCCCACTCCCTTCAACTTTCCTTCGTTTGTCTCAAATCTCAGGAAAGTCGCATAATTTTTTTTTCATGATTTTTGTCTGATTTCATAAAAATAATTTCTGAGCTTGAAATTTTTAAATAAATGAACTATAGAGATTAATTTTTACTTCTTCTGCGAGAAGATTAACCGTTCTCTTATGGGTGAAAGAACTAATTTTTCTGCCACAAGTTCTAATTTTCTAACTCTATATCTTTGCAACCTGTCAGTGTAAGTCTTTGATATTTCAAAATAATACTAGAATAATAAAGCTAGGAAAGATTAAAGAATGAAAAAAAACTCATATTAGTCACCAATGAGAAATAATTGAACCATCCTTGCAAGCAAGAGTTTTAAAATTTCAAGCTTTGTGACTTTTTGAACTTTTTAAATTGAAAATCAAACCAGACCCCAGAGTTTACAGAGAGGTTTTGTCTATCTGATAATAAACAAAATAGCCCTTTTATTTGGAAATATAAACTAAGCCAATTTTAACAAGCCGTTTCAAGATCAGATACTTTGGATATTTCAAACTATCAATTATGTTAGATCAAATATTTTTAAAATAGAAAACTTTGAGTTTGTGGCAAAGATTCCGTTCCTTTAAAACTTTATTCGATAAACAACTAACTCGTTGCCTTGGTTGAAAGGGTTCTAATTTATGATTCGTTTGTTAGACAAATACTTTGATTACATTTGCGAACAGTCTTTTTATAAATACTTATTGGTATAATGTGCTTTAGCTTGCATTTGATAATGTATACATTTAATTAAAGTATTTATAAATTTACAACTGTGCATGAATCAATTAGTGTCGGCAATTTATACCTTTTATTGGTTAAATATGGTAATTACAGTTGATTTATTGAAAACTGATTTAATCAATTGTTATTTTATTCATTCTTTTTTTTATAGCAGAATTAACATTTATCATAGAATTAAACATATCTTCATTATTCTAGTAAAAATAGATGATTAGTCTAATGAACAGAAACATGAAAAGAAAAAAAAGTTTTTTAACTTTGTTTCGAATTCATCTTTAACTTGACTCAACTCAACAAAAAAAATTTCAGCTCAAATCAAAAACAATATAAATAAGAATGTTGAAAAAGTATTAAAAAAAGACGAAAACTTATGTTTAATTAATCAAAACTTGGTTCAAATAAACAGCAAAACAAGCTAAATACTTAAACATTCAGGGTTACCCACAAAGAAGGATACTGTAATGACGACCTGAAACTCATTAGATTTGACGAAGTTTGAATCTTGAATTTGGTGTTCTGATTTGAAAATAGTCGTTTACAAATATACAAAATGATTCGGGAACTAAATAAGAAAATATTAAAACGCTGCAAACCTTAAATGTGAATAAATGTCGTCTCTGAAGTTTTACCCTTTTGGATAACCCTGAATAAACAGTTCTTTTATATTAAAATTTTTCACAGTTAATTATTGAAAATAAATTCCTTAACAAGTAGATATTCTGCATAATTTGATTCGACAGTAAAACTATAAATTACATATGTTAAAAGATAAAATAAAAATGTTTCGGATGATTAATTTTAATGAATGTTTAACATGTGTCAATGTATTAATTAAATGATTAGATTATTTTATTTAAAATAGCGGCTTCTTGACTCAGGTTACCTTTCCTACCTTTCTTTTCTGGTTTCGGTGAGTTTCTTTTACAATAATAATAATAATAATAATAATAATAATAATGCTAGGGAACTTAATGTTTCGAAATAAAACATTTTGAATCTGTTCGAAATTTATTGTACTAAATTAAAAAATGATTTAGGGAAAAAATCTTTTTTGAAAAATATCAAAATTATAAATTTTTAGTAACACTTAAGAGAGATAAGTAAATCAAGACCTTTTATATTTGTAAATTTCAAAACGTATATTTTGATCAGAAGTTATTTGCAATTTTTTGTTTTATAAACACTGCAATTCTACAGACTCTTCTGAGGAGAAGAATTTGTAAAACTATTTTAGAATTACAATTTTATTGGGTTTTTTTTCTATTCAGGCAATTTGGTTTATACCTATGTGTATTCTACTGCATTTTAGCGGATTTACTCAAAAAATATTTACTCAATAATTAGGAGAATGTACCTTTGAGGAATATTAAAAACGCTCATATTGTTTATTTTTTAATTAGTCAAAATATTCTGTATTTTTAATAATTCATTATTTTTAGATAAAATTTCTGATTACTGTGATGATATTAAACACTTGAACTCTCCTGAGGTATAATGATATTTTGAATATTCTTAGACTCGTCATTCCTACACAGACCTTTAACACGAAGTAGAAAAAAAATAAGAACCACTTTTTCAGGTAAATACTGTTAGGTTATGTTAGGTTAGGTTAGGTAACATGGTTGTAACAGTGTTGTGATGTTGTTATAACATGGTTGTAATATGATTTTAATATGGCTGTAACTTGGTTATAACTTGATTGTAACAACACTGTAACATAATCGTAACAAGGTTATAACTTGGTTTATCAAGACTATTAGTGGGTTGTAACATGGATGTAACATGACTGTAATATTGCTGAAACGTGGTTGAAGGTATTGTAACATAAATGAACGTAACATTTGGTTGTACATGATTGTAACATAACATGATTGAAACATGGTTGCAATATGGTTGCAACATAATTGTAATATGGTTGTTACGTGGTTGTAACAATATGACATGAACATAACATGAACGTAATGTAATTTTGACACGGTTGTAACATTTCTATATTTCAGGTCGGCAAATATTTAGCTTAGAGAAAACGTTTGAAAACCAGAAATATCTGAGTTCAGGAGAACGAGCTGACCTCGCAACGAGGCTTGAGGTCACTGAACAGCAGGTAATCACACTATACTCTTACTATACTGCATTCTCAGCTCAACTACTATATCTAGCCAGACACTCCCTCTAAGAACCTTATGATGTAAAATGTTGGATTCATTTCTAGTTAACTTTAAAATTTTATAATTTATTTTTTATTTTTTTAGGTTAAGATTTGGTTCCAGAACCGTAGAACAAAGGTAAATATAAGGTTTTTAAGTTTTTAATATTTGTTGGATTTTGTTCGTTTTTTAACCCGAAGCGCATGCAAAAAGGTGGTCATTACATCATGATCATATTTAAAGTTGTAATCTCTGTTTGTTTGTTTTGATGTCTGATCATAACTGATAAAACCCTAGACCAATTTGACATAAATTGTTATTGGAGAACTCGGGAGAACCGCGGGAATGAGCTTAGCTCTTATAAGATTCTAAGTTAATTGGGTCGAGTTTTATAGGGAAAAATGGAGAAAATAGTTAAAATCGTAATTTACGAGATTCATAATTCATTTATTGTTGTGTATCTATACTACTCTCTGATCTCTATTCACATAATGTTCCATCTATTTACAAAATGTCCTATTTGTAAATCTAGTACAGAGCGTCCCATATCATATTAGATTATCTCCAATCTTTAACACCAAAATAAACCCTCAATACTCGAAAAACTTATCATTTTCTGCAAGAAAATTCTTATATAAGCCTTATGTTATTTTTCAACATGATTCATTCTAATGAAATTTTCTAATTAGTCCCGAAAATCGTAATTTTGACCCGTTCTCGGTCTAAAATGATGTGTAAAATGTTCAATCTATGAAATATCATATTGGATTTATTACTTAAATGGGGTAAGTAAAAGTCTAACTATTTTTAATAAGTCTTTTTTTAAAGTGCTTTTAGTTATTGATTGTATATAACTTCTTTCTTCCCTTTGAAAAATTTAAGGCATTAACTTAATCTAGAGATATGGGTTAACTTAATCTAGAGATATGGATTAGTGCTTTAAATGGATTAAACAATGCAAACGTTTCGGCTTTTGTCTTTGCAATTAAACATCAGTTTGTAAACATGGAAAGGTTGTGATATTGAAATTTATTCAACTTAATCTTTTTGTGTATCAATAATTAACTCTATGCATCTAACTTTTCTTACAATCTTTTCTAACTTGATATTCAGTTTTTGGGACCAAAATTTATGGATTAAAAGAAGTCACTGAACTACGTAGAAAAGGTTCAAATGGTTCAAATTAAAGTGTTTTAATTTTAAACTATTCATGTGACTAACAGCCGAGTTTTGTTTCAGCCAATGGCTTGATGAACCCAATATTTACGGCACTCTGATTGGTTGAAAAAATCGTCGAAATTTTAAGCTGACTTCAAAGCAGCATTGTTTACAATCCAGAATTCTAAACTTTCAAACCGGGATTTTGGATTTGAGCACTTTGTAAGTAACTGAACCGGCGGTTAGTAATTCAGCGACCTCTCTCTAATTCACTACATCCTGGACCCATGCTGGTTATGAGTTAAAGATAAATGTCGTCTTCTCGTCTGATTTAACCCTAAATCTTTGTCATATTGTTCTAATGAGACCTTCTGGTTAAAAGTGTGTCACTGGAATAAACCCTTTGGCAGTAGATACATTTCTGGATATCATAACAACCAATTTTAGAATCTGTACTGCGTGTTAAAACGATTGATAAAGTTAAAGAATTAAAAAACTTGAAAATTCATGAAAAATCAAAATTTTATGTATTTAGTGGAAGAAGGAATGTAGCCAATATAATCCGCCCAGCAGAAGAGAAATAATAAAATATGAATTTCCCCCGAGACGAACAAGTTCAAACAGTCCTCCATCCTTGATTTCTTCTCCGACTTCTCAACCAACCTTGAAAACTAGTTCTGAATCTACCCTGAGAACTCTTCCTACTTCTCAGCCAACCCTGAGAGGGTTTCCTGGTTCTCCGCATACCCTGATAACCCCTAACAGGTTCAACCACTCCGTCCTTCCAGATCCAAGTTCATTTCTCGACTCAAGCTCGGAGTCGATAATCCTAGATCCTGATTCAAGATTAAAATCTTCCTCCTTTTCCATTCAGCAGACAGATTCTACTGCTAGGAAAGACCCAACCTTGCCAAACCCAAGAAGTAAATATTCAATAGAACCTATGTCTAGAGTTATTTTCCCAAATGATTCAGCACCCAGAGATAACCCTGAATCAGGTCCAAATAGTTCCGAATCTATCCGTCCTGGTTTTCCAACCCTGGCTTCTATAAGATCCTTATCCAACCCTACTACCGGAGCTCTAATATTCTCTCCGACCCAACCCAACCTAATGACTGTATGTAACACCTACCCAGGAGCTGGGACAACCTCAAACCCGGAGTTCAACAACTTCCAAGGGTTCCTATCCTCTAACCCGTTTTCCGTCTCCGGCACATCATTTTTCCCAGGTACAAGAATAAAGGAAATGTGTTTTCGTCAGAAACAAAAATTTGCTATTCCCTACAATCTTGAAACCTGATGTTGTAAAACTTTTATATTTTAAACTTAGCCTTTTTTAGAAATATTTAAGGTCTACAACAACATAGAGATTTAAAAATTAGATTTTGTGGCAAAATCGCATTTCTTTTTGGTATCGAAGAAGTCACTTAAAAATGCACTACCCAACCCTTTAAAGTGGCCTCCCACTTAATTTTCTAATTTTTAAAATCTTTATATTATTTTGTCAAACAATAGCATGGCACCTCTTTAAACGATGTTGACACTTGTTTAGTATTTGATCTTATTCTTGTGATAATCTTTGAAGAAATATAAAACCAAACAATTAAAAATTGTCTTTTTCTTCTATCATCTTGTTCACGCTAAATTACACATTTATTTGATCGAGGATCGATTTAAATTTAGATTACAACATTTCATCTGTTAAAAGTAGCAATTAAAACTTTTTATGTGAAAACAATCATAAACCTTAAACTGCAGTGTTAGAAACAATTCTAATTATATTTTATTTGAATTTTGAATTCATTTTCCTTATTATTATTATTTTACGATTTTTTCAAAGTTTTCATCTTTTTCCCTTTACAATTACATCTGGTTACCCACAAAGGATGAGATATCAAAGACGACATAAAAACTCATTAAATTCAACTAACTCAATGTCGAATTTGTGTTTAATGAAATATTGAATTTGATTTGTCAAAGTTTTAGGAAACCATTTCATGTAAGAAAGAAGAATGAACAAAGTAATTAAGCATTTGCCAAAAACGCAAAATTTCTGATGCTTTATCTTTGCAATCTAATGGTGTAAACCTTTAATATTTTAAAAATAATATAACCAAAGGTTTTCATTATCATATAAAGGGACTATTCACAACAGCACCCCTATAACATTTTTCTGTATTAAGTATGCATGAATAAGTTATAAATGTTTATAATTTTGAAAACGGATTATTTTCAATTGTGGTTTCACTACAAAAGTGATTATACATTCGTACCGCAGGGATTTTCTGAACCGGGCATTGCCCTATTTGCCTGGATTATGTAAACCAAGGGTGTAATGCATGGAAAAATAATTGCAGTTGCGTATACTCTGCGTACGTATTGAAACCAGTTCTCTTTGGGCGGAATTTGTAAACAAGGATAGATGCATCAGTATTCGTTTAGTATCCGGGGAGGTTAAAAGCATTAAATTTGATAATTTTGATAATTCACATACTAGTTTCCTTTGACCAGAATATTTCATTGATTTTTTATGTGAAAGATGGATCCCATGTTAGGCTGTAACATCCGTCTTGTGTTTACATTACCGCCCAGAGACAGTACACTGCAGTACAAAAGATGCGTACACTTCTGAAATAACTTTCCTTGCATTACATCCTTGATGTAAACTGTCCTCCTAAGTCTGCTGGAAATTAAATTGTCACTCTGAAAAGGTCTAAAATTCTAGATTGAAAAAGCATAAAAAATGTAGAAAAATTAAACTAACAATTTTTTATCAGGTTACTGTGATGAGAAACTGGAATTGGATGTTTGAAACTATTTTTCTTCCATTGTTTTCAACAATTTTCTTTTTTTCATTTCCTTCCCGTTAGTTCTTAAAATACCTTCTCCATCCATCCTTTCCCTTTTTTATATTCCCTCTATTCATCTCTTTTCCTTTCCCTTCTATACTTTACATGTCTTCTCTTCGTGTTTATATCCATCCTTCCTTTCTTTTCATTTACTTCTTTCAAACCCTGCAATTTCCTTTCCCTTTTTCCTAATAGACCTTCTCTGTTTAACCTTCCATTTTTCTTTCTTCCATCTTTCTCTTTTTCTTTAGCCTTCTATTTCTTTTATTTTTATTTTATTTTCCTTCTTTCTGCTTTCCACACACTATGTTCTCCTTTCATCCTTTCCACACAGCTTGTACTCATTTCATTCTTTCCACACAGCTTGTTCTCCTTTCATCCTTTCCACACAGCTTGTTCTCCTTTCATCCTTTCCACACAGCTTGTTCTACTGTCCATGCATACTTTACTTTCTATTAAAATATTTTCTTTATTTGCTTTCTTTATTGATCCTCATAGTCTAATTCTCTTTATATACAGTTGTATCCCTTATGTCTTTATAGTAATAAAATCTCTTCATCTTTTATATTTAGATTGTTTATTTGTTTTAAACTTGATAGACCAATGTTGATCAATTATTTATTAAAAATAATAAACATGTTATTCGTTTTTTATTATTAACATTTAGGGTGTTTGATGTTTATCCTTTTTGCAAAGAAATTTGCTATTCTATTCTATTCTATTCTATTCTATTCTAGTATAATCTAGTTTATTCTATTCTATTCTATTCTAGTATAATCTAGTTTATTCTATTCTATTCTATTCTATTC